AGTTCTCTTAACTGCTTAGCCATCTCTCTAGCCTCCTTTCTTTTTTTACCCCTTCCCCCCCTCCCCCAAAGCAGGGTTTCTCTTTGGCTTTGGAGGCTGTCCTGGAACTAGCTCTTGTAGACCAGACTGGTCTTAAACTCACAGAGATCCACCTGCCTCTGCCTCCCGAGTGCTGGGACCAAAGGCGCGCACCACCACCACTCGGCTCGGCCTTATTTTATAATTTTAGAAATAGAAAACTTGTTCTTATTGTAGAGTTTTAACAGCCTTAACATAGTTTTTTGTTGTTGTTATATTTGAGACAAGCTCTCTTTATATAGTTCTGGCTGTTCTAGAATTCACTGTGTAGACCAGGCTGGCTTCAAACTTAGAGAGATCTGCCTGCCTCTGCCTTCCTGAGTGCTGAGATTAAAGGCATGTGCCACAATGCCTGGGTAACATAGTTTTTTCTTAATCCAGGTGAGAATATTTTTACAGATTTGTAAAGTGTGTGTTTGAGCACTGGAGTGTACACGTGCTTCTGTTTTTGTGAGTTCATATGTACTGTATGCATGCAGGTGCCCATGCAGGCTGCAAGAGGGTATCAGTTCCTCTGGACCTGGAGTTTTAGGTCATGGTGAGCTGTCTGATGTGGGTGCTGGGAGCCAAACTTGTGCCTTACGAGAATAGTAAGGGTTCTTATACATTGATGTCTCTCTCCAGCCCCCAAGTTACATTTTTCATCATTTTTTTTTTTTTCTTCCCATTTTGTGTGTGTCATCAGCATGTTGGGAATCATCCTAGATTCCTCTTCTACCTCATTTTTCTAAGCTGGGTTTACTCAGAGCTCACTGTTAGGGCTATTCTTGTTAGTAATCCTTCTGTGATCTTGTCTCCTTCCAGAGTTGGGATTATATATAGGTGAACCATTAAATCTTCCCAGTATGGTGTTGATATTCTGAGGATCCATACCCTGCTTCTCTCCGCGCTCCTTATGATTTCTTGTGTTGTAGGTGCTATAACCAGTGAACCATTTCTTCAGCCCCTTTTGTCACTGTGTTGTAAGACAGTATTTCTCTGTGAACATTGGCTACCCTGGAACTTTCAATGTAGATCAGGCTGGCCTTGAACTAGATCTGCTTGCTTCTCTGTCTTAAGTGCCTGGCTCATTTCATATTTTTTTTTCCTTGAAGGAAACATTTGTCTCTTTGGTATGTTGGGATTCCATTATCTCATTACTCTTATGTTTTGGTATTGTTGTTATGTAATTGATGATTGTTTGAACACAAGAACTTTAATAACCGTGACAGATCATTAAGAAGCTACTAAGTCATTTATGGGTGAGTAGAGTATTGCATCATAGATACCTTGGACAAAAGAAATGATTCATGTCCTAGCCAGATAGAATATGCTACTAAAAACAGCATACAGTTTCAGACTTTTAGAGAAAGCCAGGTGAGAAAGAGAGGAAGACCAAGGTTCAGAGCTGACATTTTAGTATAAAATACCTAACCAGTTGATATAGATGTCTATACTTTGGAATAGTGTGTTCAGAGCACAAGTCCACTTTTCAGTTTTGAGTGTATACTTTAGTAGTAGAATTATACATACCTATGAAAATTCTGTTTTTAAACTTTTGAGGAATGATCTTAACTGCTGAGCCATCTCTCTTGCCTCCTAAAAGATTTATTTACTTTTTATGCAATGTTCTGCCTGTGTGCAGGCCAGAAGAGGGCACCAGATCTCATTACACATGGTTGTGAGCCACCATGTAGTTGCTGGGAATTGAACTCAGGACCTCTGGAAGAGTGCTCTTAACCCTTTGAGGAATAATATAACTGCAAGCCAAGCAGCTACTGTTTCCATTCCCACCAGCTGTAAAGACTTTTAATTTCTTTACCTTTGTGATAATGCATGTTATTTTGGTACTTTGATTATCCATCCTCACTGTTGTAGAGTGGTTTTAATTTTCAGTTTTCTAATTATCATTGACATTGAACATTTTGTTGTTGTTTTGACAGGGTCTTTCTTTGTAGCCCTGGCTTTCCTTGATCTCACTGTATGGATCACAAATGGCTTTAAACCGTTCCCTACCTGTGTTGGTTATTTTTGTTGTTTTAAAGTTGTATATGGGGGCAGACACTTTTAATCTCAGCACTCAGGAATCAGAGACATGTGTATCTCTGTAAATCTGGGCCAGCCTGATTTACGTAGAAAGTTCCAGGCCAGCCAGGACTGCATAATGAAATCTATCTCAAAATTGTTTTTAGTATTTTTAAAATTTTATGTGTGTATGGCACAAGTCTGAGGATACTTAACAGAGCCCAGAAGAGAGCTTTTAATTCTCCAAAGCTAGAGTTAACAGGTGGTTATAAAATACCCTATATGAGTACTTGTAACCAAACTCAAGACCTCTGGAGGAAGACAAAATGTTTTTAACCACTGACCCATCTCTACAGCCCCTATCTCAGGGCTGTGGCTTTGTATTTTATATTTTTGGTTGTGAGCCTAGCCTTTAATGGCTGAACCATCCCTATAGCCCTTGACTTTGTATTTTAAGTAGACTTCTGTCTAGAATACATAAAGAACTCTTAGAACTCAGTAATAAAGATGTAGTTTAGAACATGAATAATATAAATTTTGAATTAAAAAATTTCCAAAGAAAATTGTAGATGGACAATAGTTAAAAAAAATGTTCAACATCATTAGTCATGAATGTTGAAATATTTTATTAAGTATAATCACAAAAGGCCACGTGTGGTTCCTTTTAAATGAAATATCCAGAATAGGCAAATCTTCAGGCATGGGAAGTGTATTGTTGCTTAGAGAAGGTGAGTAAAACACATAGGAGAATGATAGGTAAAGACGGTATAAGGTAAAGCCAGCCATTGTTACAAACACCTCAATATCATTACTCAAGAAACTGAGACAGAAACGTTTTGAGTATGAGGTCAACATAGGATATATTAGTGAATTTATAGCTAGCCTAGTTTACATATTAGTAGAACAGAGAATAAAAAAGCAACACAAATACACTACAGATAATGATTTGTTGAGTTGAACACTTTGCTTTGTTAATTTTAGTTTTTTAAGTGTTGGCTTTCTTTACTATTGAGGATTTGAAAGTAATTCTTCCTAAACTTTAAGCATCTAAGTTTTTATGGGGTGGTACACACCCTTGAACCTTAACACTCAGGAGTCAGAGACAGATGGATGGATCTCTTGAGTTTGAGGCCAAGCTCTAGTACAGCCAGGGCTACATAGAAAAATCTGGTCTCAAAAACAACTAGAACAAAATACGAATTATGAAATGTTTCTCAGTATTAAGTCCTGAGTTTAAATTTTATTCTTATAGTTCTTTTCATGTCATAAAATTTAAGTGTAGAAATACTTTCTTACATTTCTTTATTTTGCGTGGAAGGGCCATGAAGATTAGGAGTCTGTTCTCTCTTTCCAGGATGTAGGTCTCAGGGATTGAATCCAGGCCACCAGGCTTGGTAACAAATGACTTACCAACTGAGCCATATCTACATCCCCATATCCTATAAAATTTTGGAGTCTTTTTGCTTATATTTATAAATTAAATTGGGATATAACTTTAGTAAGTTTTCATTACAGGGTCATATTGCATTCTGATGAGACAGCTTTTCTTCCCTTTTATATACTGAAAAGATTCACAAACACCCTGTTCCGTGTGTGTGTGTGTGTGTGTGTGTGTGTGTGTGTGTGTGTGTGTGTGTGTTCAGGTGCATCTTTATGTGTAGGGACTAGAGGACTACCTCAGAAGCAGTCTATATTTTGCTTTCATTTTATTTATTTTTGTTTTCTGTTTATGGGTATTTTGTCTGCATGAATTTATATACACCACATGTGTATCTGGTACCTGTGGAGGCCAGAAGATGTACGGAGCTCACAGAACTAGAGTTATTTATTATACATGATGGTTAGCTGCCATTATGAGGGCTAGGAATTGAACTTGGGTCCTCTGCAAGAGCAGTCAGCACTCTTCGCTACTGTGCCACCTATCCAGCGCCCCCCCACCTTCTAAAATTAAACAAGACATGTTTATTTTTAAAAAAAATACTTTCTAAAAAGTATGTCTGTTTGTATGAGTGTATTAGAATTAGACATTTGGAACCAGAGTTACAATAGATTTATGCCACTTAATGTGGGTATTAGGAACTTAACTCCTGCCTCAAGTACTTTTTGGGGGGTACCCAAGCACTATTAACCACATACAATCTTTCTAGCCCCCCACCCCCCACTTTTTTTGAAATAGGATCTCCTAGGCTGGGAGCTACCCAAGTAGGCTAAATTAATTGGCTCTAGTACAAATGAATGTTGCCATACCCATTTTTTTTCTGAAGGTGGGTTCTGGAGATCAAACTTAGGTTCTCATGCTTACAAGCCAGTAAGGTGTTTTTTTTTTTTTTTTAAATATGTTTTTATTTTTAATAAAGTGTTCTGCAAGGGCTGGCAAGATGGACTTGTAAGTAAAGATGCTTGCTGTCAATCTTGATGACCAGAATTTAATCTTCTGGACCCACATAGTAGAAAGAGAACTGATTCCCTAAAGTTGTCCTCTTACCTGTATACATTCACAAATATAAACATTCATATACTCATATATAAATACAATAGTGGTTTTTACAAATGTTCTTTAAAAGGAACTTTATTGCATTTTAGCTTTTTGTTGTTTTTAAATTGGTTACATATTTGTGGGTTACAATATAGACTATAAAATTTTGACTATGGTGAAGTAGATGATTTTATATGTGACAAGAACAGCTAAAAGTGACTTAACAAAAGTCCCTAATACAATTTGATCAACTTTAGTTCTGAATTATTATTAGCTTTTTAGATTCCTATTTGACCCACATCTTTCCTAGTTTTTCTGCCACTTAAGGTAATTTTGATGTTTTTGAATTAGTAGTTTGTAAGTTCCTTTATTCTCAAAGAAATAGCATCTCAGGTTTAATTTATTTGTTTCTATTTCACAATTTTTTTTTTTTTTTTTAAAGGCTCGAGATGTTCGTACTAATGAAGTGGTGGCCATCAAGAAAATGTCTTACAGTGGAAAGCAGTCTACTGAGGTAAGTTAATTATGTACGTATTTTTGGCATGTTAGGAAAACATACTGTTTTTAATAAGGGAAAGGAAATTTAAAAAATATATATTATGTACCACTAGATTTTTCTTTTTTCTCCTGTTCATTCATTCATTCATTCATTTTTTTTCATTTTCTTTACCTTTTTAATTGCCATACTAAATCCCAGAGTTCTTTATGCTATCTTCATACATACTTAATTGTGGTTGATTCTCCTCCTTCCTCTTATCTTCCTGTTCCTGGTTGCTTTTTGCCCTTCCAGTCAGCTTGTACCCTTCTGCTCTAGTATTTCTCCTTCCAATTCCCCATCCCCTTCTATAAAGCCTCTTGTTTCCCCTCTAATTGGATCTTTTTTAAATTGGCTGACTTTTATCCAGAGTCACATCAATGAATCTCCTTTTTACAAATGGGTGAAGTCTATTTAGCTATTACTTATAGCCAGAAACAAAACATTAGTGGCATATCAAAAGCCTCCTCCTAACTTGTATCTTAGGCTGTTAGTTTTTTAAACTATGGTTTAATAATCTGTGTTTATCTTGGTTTCTAAATACTAAAGTAAGTTAAGATGTATGTAATAATAGATTAATAGGATGTAGTCCTTTATTTAAAAAAAAATTTAGAAAATGTTTCATGGCCATCTTAGATTTTATCCAAAGATAATATGTAATAAGTTCAAAAAGCAAAAAGAACTAGATGCTTTAGTTTGCTAGTATTTGTATCTCTAGATTGTGTTTTGTCTGTGTAAATAAATTTATAAAATAAAATCTATTTTTAAAAGACAGGATTCTGAGCCTGGCATGGTGTGCATGCCTTTAATCCTAGCATTCAGCGGGGTAGGGGTAGGTAGATCGCTTGTGAGTTTGGAGGCCAGCCTGGTGTATAAAGTATGTTCCAAAACAGCCAGGGCTACATGAGAAACCCTGTCTAGAAAAACAACACAAATACACACAAATCTGAAGTGCTTTAATTTTATAAATAATGTTTTTTAGTTGTGGTAAAGTACATAAAACATAATTTCCTATCTTATACCATCTTCAAGTAATTGGTGCAGCAGTAGTGTTAAGTGCATGCATGCTATACAACCATTACCAACGCCCTTTTCTAGAATTCTTTTCATTTTGGGACAGGGGAAGTGTACTCATAATATGGAATGAGATTTTGTTTAGTGGTAAAGTAGTTGATACCCATTCACATGACCATCCCAGTACCACTAAAACAGCGTTATTATTATTATTATTTTTAAACACCTACTCACCCTAGTATCCATACTTCTAGTGTTTCTCATGAAGTTAGTTCCTGGGGCCACTTTCAAGGATATCCAATCTTTGGCACTGTGACATAATGTCATGTGCAGAGTTCATGCTGGAGATTTGTTCAACTGAATTTTTAAAAACATTGCAAAAAAGTAGGTTTTAAGCAAGTTTTCTGTTTTGTATTAGACTGCATTGGCATTATCTTCAGCTACAGTGTTGCCCCATGTAGCTTTAGAGCTACAGATTGGATATTCCTGGAAGTAGAGTCATTCAGTATTTATCCTTTTGTTACTAGTGCATTCTATATCACATAGTATTCTCAGTTACACATAGTGTAACATGTCCAAAATTTCCTCCTTTTCAAGAGACTGAGAAATATTCCATTGTGTTTATATGTGTTATATCTATCCCTATATGTACTCATGACTCACATTTATATACAAACCTACAAAAGAACCTGTGTTTCTTCAGTCTTTTGGCTATTGTCAATAATACATGAATATGAGTGCACAAATATTTCTTTTAGATCCTTGCTTTAATTTCTTTTGGTTATATGTCTGTCTAAAAGTAGACTTGTTGAATTTGTTTCGAAAACTTGGTTCCTATTTGTTTTGAACGTGATTTATGATAAATTTTGGTTTGGTGACTATTGCACTGAGAGTATGATAATACTATTATAATTATATCTTTTTTTTCATTTTATTATCTAAAAACTGACATTTCTTAGAAGTATAATTTTATTCATTATTATGTTAAAACAACTTCAGGGTTAACAAGATTGACTCATTTCATTATTGCTAAAGTCTATTTTTTCAGTCATATGGTGAACCAGTATTTCATTATTGAATTATCTTTAGGATCTAGTATTGTTCTGCAATTTCTGTTTTACTAAATACTTTGTAGGTTTCTTTAATTTTATGTGCATTGTTGTGAAGGTGTAAGATCCCCTGGAACTGGAGTTACTGACAGTTGTGAGCTGCCATGTGGATGCTGTTAATGGAACCCAGTTTCTCTGGAAGAACAGCCAGTGTTCTTAACTGTTGTGCCATCTCTCCAACCCCCTCAATTTTTTCCTTACACAAGGATATCTAAATCTTTAGAGTTTGCCTTGTGGAATGTTCAAATTTGAATTTAATGCTCCTAAGATTTTCTGAATCTTGCCATTTGTGGTGGGGCAGGTCTTAATCCCAGTACTTGGGAGGCAGAGGCAAGTGAGTCTCTGAGTTAGAGCCCAGCCTAGTCTACAAAGTGAGTTCTAGGACAGGCTCCAAAGTTACAGAGAAAGTGTATCTTGAAAAACAAAACACCAAAATAAATAAAATATATCTTCTGAATCTTATTACCCATTTATATAAAAGATTGAATATATTTTCCTGTGTTTGATTAAGGGCTTACAAAATATAATATGAGATAGATATTCTTAAACTTAAATACATAGCCAGGTAGTGGTGGTACACACTTTTAATCCCAGCACTTAGGAGGCAGAAGTAGGCAGATCTCTATGAATTCGAGTCCAGCCTGATCTACAGAGCGAGTTCCAGGATAGCCAAAGCTACACAGGTAAACCCTGTCTCAGTCACCTCCCCCCCCCAATAAAAAACCCCAAACTTCTTAATTTCTGTTATATTTTTCATCTCTTAATTTTATAGCCCATTAGTGTAATGCTTATAAAAACCCTAAAACAGGAACCCAAAACAGATTGGTCTCTATATGACATTTATTAAACTTATAGAATTTCTGACTGAAGCTAAGGACCTTTGTTTTGTTTTTAAAGTTCACTGATTTGCTTCTTAAGAGTAATTTTATGTAGGTTTGGACATTTAGCTGACAGAGCATTTACCTAGCATGTATGTGGACCTATTTTCTATTACCAGCAACAAACACAAACCCCCCCCCCTCAAGTGGGGACTGGTGTAAACTACTTACAACCTCAGTGTGAGGACTTGAATTTGACTCCCCTGAACTCACATAAAAGCTAGGTATTCCAGTGATCCTGTCATGAGATAGGAGGTAAAGAGATCTAATCTCCAGAATCTGGCTGCATAGCTACTCTTGTGTATATATATACAGCAAAGAACAAAGAAAAGGCCCTGTTTCCCAAACACCCTATTGCTTTCTACTGACCTCTACACAAGTACCATGGCATGGGTATGCCTTTGTGTTAAGGATGTGCCCTAAATGTTAACTGATACTTGTGAGGGAAGGATCTTAGCAGAATATGTAGGAAAATGGTTATTATACTCCCTTTTTTGTTACCTTTTATACATAATTATTGCATTAGCATTTTAAAGCTAGATGTATATGAATATTTTCTCAGCATATATTCCTATGCAGCATATGTGCCTGGTGTCCAGGTAAGCAAGAAGAGGATGGTGACAATTGATTGCTGCTAGAGGAAGTAGAGTCAGTTTTCTTTATGAATGTGGTCCCCTTGGGGACTGGAGAGATGGCTCAGTGGTTAAGAGCAGTGGGTGTTGGTGGTACATGTCTTTAGTCCCAGCACTCAGGAGGCAGAGGCAGGCCAATCTCTTGAGTTCAAGGCCAGCCTGGTCTCCAGAGCTAGTTCCAGGACAGGTTCCTAAGCAATATGGAGAAGCCCCGTCTCGAAAAACAAAAACAAAAAAGAGCACTGACTGCTTTTCTACAGGACCTGAGTTCAGTCTCTAGCACCAACATGACAGTTTAAAACAGCCTGTAACTCAGGTTTCAGAGGATCTGACATCTTCACACCAATGCACATAAAGTTAAACAAATTATTTAAAAAAAAAAAGGAAAAAAGAGAAAGACATGGCCCCTTGTAGGTCAACCCTTTCTAGGGCAGGTTTAACACCCAAAAGTATTTGGGTAGCACAAGTTGAACTGGATAAGACTTTTTTGTTTGTTTTATTGGTTTTTCAAGACAGGAGTTCTCTGTGTAGTCTTGGCTGTCCTGGAACTTACTCTGTAGACCAGGCTTGGTTTTAAAGTAAGAAAGAGAGAGAACACAAAATTGAGTGGGTAGGGAGGTGGGGTGAGTATGGGAAATGTCCAAGGTGGGGAGTTGAATATGATGGAAATACATACATTTTATGAAATGCTCAAGAAATTAATAAAATTGGGCTGCAGAGATGGCTCAGCCGTTAGGTCCTGAGTTCAATTCCCAGCAAGCACATTATGACTCAAAACCATCTGTAATGAAATCTGGTGCTTTCTTCTGGCCTATAGCCATACCCATGTGTGCAGAACACTGTATACATAATAAAAATTAAAAAAAAAAACAATAAAATTAATTTTAATTTAAATATATTCTTATTTAAAGAAAATAAAAGGATTCTACTTCTGAGGGAAAGAAAACCCATGTGTGTTATATCAGTATTGAGCTTTAGTATTATGATTTAAGATTTATTTTTATGTGCATGAATATTTGCCTGTATGTATGTTTGTATACCTTGTTTGTGGTGGTGCTCTAGAGGTCAGTTAGACATTGCTATGTGGGTGCTAAGAATTGAACTCAGGTTTTCTGGAAGAGCAACAAGTGCCTTTAACTTCAAAGCCATCTTGCTAGCAAACTTAGTAGGATTCATTGATATTTGAATATTATCAAACTGAAATTTCTCCTTAAATATTTCACATCTTGTATAATTAGTGGGCTGAGTATAATTATTTTAAACGTTGACATTTTTAGTATAGATCATAAAGTTGTATGTTCTTGTAATCTTTTTAAATATAGTAAAATTTGTTTTTTCTTATGTATCTTTCCAAGTAAAATCAGCTGTTCATAATTCTTCTTCCTGTCCCCCTTTTTCTTCCTCCACATAGAAATGGCAGGATATTATTAAGGAAGTCAAGTTTCTACAAAGAATAAAACATCCCAACAGTATAGAATATAAAGGCTGCTATTTACGGGAACACACCGCATGGGTTGGTATTTGTTCTGTTCTTGTTGTAAATTAATTGCTTTTGGTTTAGCATAATGTCTGAGACATTTTAACATTTGACCTGAAAGATTTAGTTCATCCTGGGAGCGTAAGAACAGTATTCTTGTAACTCTTTTATCAGATAAAACAACTATTCAAGACTTACTTTCATAACTTAAGGAATACCATCTCAAGAGCAGTACCATTATTTGAGAATGCAAGTAAACATACCCTTTTGGCATAAGTGTGTGTTGGTGTATTTAAGTACAAAGATCCTTGTGTAGTTGTGATACATCCTAGTGAAAATGACGTTTCCTTAAGCCGAATAACTCTTACTAGAGAATTGTGGAATTGTATTGTAAGAATAGGATTAATTATAGATGTAATTACATATAGTTATATCTTTATATAGGAAAGTATATATGCAATACACAGCTTATATTTTGTGTTAACATTATTAGAAGACAAGTATTATTATTTTCTTAAATTTTGTTTGATAGCTTTAAGACACATTCTGCTATGTAGCCTAGACTCTGTATTTTCTGCCTTGGCATCCCAAGTGCTGTGGCATCTCAAGTGCTGTGATTACTGGCAAGTGTCACCATGTCTGAACCATTAGCTTAGTTTAACAAATTACTGAATATATAACTGTATTGTAAATGTAGATGATAGCTTAAGTTTGCTTTACTTCAGACTGTTTTCTTGACTTCATATTTATGTCAAATAGACTAAATCTTTATAATGTATTTTAATGCATTTATAATTTTTCTTCCCATGCAGCTAGTAATGGAGTATTGCTTGGGTTCTGCTTCAGATTTATTAGAAGGTAAGCTAAGTTTGATTGTTGATTTTTGATTGTTTAATTTTGAAATCAGGCAAGAGTGGCCACATACCTTTAATCCTAACACTCAGGAGGCAGAAACAGGTGGATCTCTTATTTTGAGGCCAGCCTGGTTTACAGACTTAATTCCAGAACAGTCTGGGATACACAGAAAAATTCTGTCCGAAAAAGCTATAGCTAGATAAATAAGAAAAGAGAATTTGAGGCAGGGGTCCTTTTATGAATCTTTTGAAGGTCATGGAACTCAGTGTGTAGACTAGACTGGCCTTGAACTCACAGAAATCTACCTTTGTCTGTATTCTGTCTGATTTGATTAAAATCATATGCCATCATTCTTGGCCTTGATTATTGTTTATTAGTTAGAATAAAATAACAATTTAGGTCAGGAGTTGGCCACGCATTCCTTTAATCCCAGATTTTGGGAGGCAGAGGCATGTATATCTGAGTTTGAGTCCAGCCTGGTCTACAAAATGAGTATAAGAACAGCCAGAGCTACACGAGAAATCCTATCTCAAAAAAACTAAAACAAAGTAAGTTGGGCAGGTGATGCATAGCTTTAATCCCAGGACTGGGTAGGGAGAGGCAGGTGAATGTGAGTTCAAGGCCAACCTGGTCTATACAGTGACTTCCAGGACAGGATCCAAAGCTACACAGAGATGCCCTGCCTCAAAAAACAAACAAACAAACAAAAAAAAAAAAAAAAAAAAAGGGGGTGGGGAGAGCTTAAACAACATTAATACTAACTATAAAATTTTGCAGAAAGTATAAACTCCCTTGCCTCTTCCATTTTCCATACAAAATAGGCAGATTTTCTCATAGAAAACTATATGTATTAAAAAAAAATTCTTTGTCATTCAGGTTGATCAGTTCTATTGATAAAAAGTAAAAATAAAGAGGGAACATCTTGTTTGTTTCATGTTCATCAAGTTTATTCTTCAGCATTATTAAGCTTAGAGGATTAGTTGACTGAATATTACTAACTCTTGTAAGTGTATTCTAGTTACAAAGTTTATTGGCCTTGTTTTATCACCATGGAAATTGTCTCTTGCTAAATGACTGGATTTTAAAAATTACCCTTGAGGACATAGCTTAGTGAATAAAGCAGTTACTACACAAGTATTAAGACCTGAGTTCAAATCCTCAGCACACAAGTAAAGTTAGGAGTGGTTGTGTGCTTCAGCAATTCCGATGCTCCAGAGGGAGGTAGAGGTAGAAACAGGAAATTCCTTGGAGGCTTGTGACCTAGATAGCCTGGCATATGCAGAACAGCAAATACCAAAGAGACGGCCTCAAACAAGGTTGGAGGTGAGGAGCAATGTTTTCTTTTGACCATCACACATAGTCTATTGGGCACACACACACATTGTGCACACCAATGTGTCAGCTGGGTAGGAGTGGTGCATGCCTTTAATCCCAGCACTTGGGAGGCATTCTGGTCTACAGAGTAAGTTCCAGTACAGCTAGGACTGTAACAGAGAAATCCTGTCTGGAGGAGTAGGGTGGGTGGGACCTAAAAACAAACTACCAGTGTATTAATTTGTATATTCATCTAGAAGTAATTTTATTTTATATGTGTATGTGTTTGTATCTGTGTGCATGTGTACCACAGTGCATGTGTAAAAGTTAGAGAATGATTTGAAGAAGTTGTTTCTTTCCTTCCACTATGTGGGTTTAGGGCATTGAACTCAGATCCTTAGACTTACATATTTACCCACTAGCCTCCCTTGTTATTCCTGTATATTTAAAAAAAAAAAAAATTCTATGTGATTATTTTCAAATTTCTTTTCTCAGTTCATAAAAAGCCATTACAAGAAGTGGAAATAGCAGCAATTACACATGGTGCTCTCCAGGGATTAGCTTATTTACATTCTCATACAATGATCCATAGGTAAGTGATTTGAAAACTATCATATATTGACAACCAAATGGTTTATTGAAATTACCACCCCTATAGTTCAGTGTCTCTGAGATTTTTGTTTACGTTAGCCAAAAAAAAATTGCATAAACTCAACACTATTTAAACTGTTGACATATTAGGAAGAACATTGTGTACACCTGTTTAGAATAATTTTAATTATGCCTGTGTGTTGCTGTTTCCTAAAGCATATGTATTTCATGGAACCTAATTGTAGAATTACCTAATGTGCAAACTGGAAGGGGCATATTAGGGACCATAGGGTCTGTCTTCTTGGACAATTGATACTCTAATTTGTGACTATAATTTCCCTAAGCCATCTAATCTATTTGCAAAGCCAAATAGATTAGAGCTTGAATTTAATGGCTCCTTTACCTTCCTGATAACTGATAATGGCAGATTTATTCCATTGTTTTTTATGACATGGACAAAAAACATTTTGATGCAATTTTTAGCGCTGCTATTAGTTTTGACTGTTTTAGATAGATATTAACATTTAAAAAAATAACATGATCCAATCAGTCAATATTAAACTATATAGTAAAGTCATTTTGAGTCAGTGGATTATCATTATTTTTAGTTGAGTGTAAGTGAAAAGTCAAAGAGAAATTTATACGGTAGCAGGTGAGCGAGTGACAGAATTGGAGTATGTTTTCTCATCTCCAAAGTACCTCACTGCATAAGGCCTAGGATTTAATCCCTAGTGCCAATCACATACACAAACATAAGCACAATGGGCAGGGAGAAAGTACTTTCCCTATTAATAAGAAAAACGACACATAAAAGTGTATTATACTCAGTATTACATGTACTATAACAAGAATCAGTAAGTCTTATAAACTTGTTTTTTTCTAAGTTTTAAAAGTTAAGTATGTATTCTAACATCTGTGGAACACATATTTCTGTTGTGTAGATATCCTTATAGCTTAGTTTAAGTAGTGTGTTTGGGACCATTGACAGTGTGTTATCCATGTGCTTCAGTGTTCATCTCAATTTTAACCAGAAACTAAGTGACAGCTTGAGAATGGGATAATTCTTTGTTATTCTTTGTTATAAACCAAGTTCGGAAGATGAGGCAATTTACTTTTTTTTTTTTTTTTTTTTTTTTTTTTTTTTTTAATGCTGGTGTGCCTTTAATCCCAGCATTTGGGAGGCAGAGGCTACACAGAAGAAACCAGAAGAAAAGAAAAATGTTAAAAGGGATACTTAGAAATCTTACGAAATCATGAAAGGATTTTTAAGTTATATTTTCAAAGCCATTGTTGATACTTATAAACAAGCTCAAACACAGGCAGTGTGATACAGTTGCCTACTTTTTGTTTTGTTAGCTATTCTGTTAACTATATTTTTACTTGACTTTTGTTTTTATTGCCTAATTTTATTATCATAATGTGAAATTATTGCAGTACTTGATTTTTATTTACTTTCTACTATCTTACATTTTTGGTTTTATTATTTTTAAATATAACCTAGTGAAGGGAAGTTAACTAATTTTCTGTGTCTCCGAAACCAGAGATATTAAAGCAGGAAATATCCTTCTGACAGAACCAGGACAGGTGAAACTTGCTGACTTTGGATCTGCTTCCATGGCCTCCCCTGCCAATTCTTTTGTGGGGACGCCATATTGGTAAGAATAGTCTTATCTGGTATTGGTGCTCATAATTAACCTCTAAGATGTCATTTTCCTAAAAATATACTATCATTTTGGATATTTTTTACTTTATGTTTATACCTAATAAGTTTGTGAAGTGTGTGTCTTTGTGCGTGTATGCTACATATATGGGATACCCTTGTGCCAAAAGAGGGCGCCAGGGCCCTAGGCCTGGAGTTATAGATGAGCCTCTTGATGTGGATGCTGGGAACCAAACTGAGATAGATCTCCAGCACAGCAGCAGGAGCTTATAACTGCTAAGGCATATCTGCTGCTGCAGCACCACACCTTTTTGAGATAATGTCTCCTGTTGCTCTGACTGGCTTTAAGCTCCTTATTTAGTTGGGGGTGATATGCATCCCTGATCTCTTGCTTTTGTTTTATGAAAGCAGATTTTCTTTGTATTGCTACTTAGACTGGCAGTTGAATTGCAGGGGTTTTCTTGTTTTGAATTTTCTGCTTGAGGAATTTCAGATGTAAATCAAAATAGAAGTAGGATAACATCTTTCATCCCAGCTACCCAGCTCAATAACTTTATCACATGGTTAATTCTGCCCTCCCTACTTTCTACCCCAGGCATTTTTTTTAAATTGAAATTCTAGGTAATATCAGTTCTGTTTTATAAATAATTTTATGTGTATCTGTAGGTAAAAAAATTGAAGAAAATAATTTTTCAGATATTTAAACTTTGTATATTCTAAAATTAGTACCTTTGGTTCACTGCATCTTTTTTTTTTTCATCTCTCTTCTTATTTTATCAAAGATTTGTTTTGATGGTATATTACTCTGCCATGTAAAGTCTCAGAAGCATGCTAGAGAGATGTTTGTTTGTTTTTAAAGATTTATTTATTACATATACAGCATTCTGTCTGCATGTATGCCTGCAGGCCAGAAGTCACCAGATCTTATTACAGATTGTTTGAGTCACCATGTGGTTGCTGGGAATTGAATTCAAGGTCATCTGGAAGATCATTCAGTGTTCTTAACCGCTGAGCCACCACTCCAGCCCGTAATGAGACACTTGTGATTGTTCAGTTTCTAAAAGAAACATTAAAGGTTCAGGGTACAATTTTATGGTCTTGGCCCTTCCTTTTCATTTCAGGTAAAGCAAACTGACAGTGTTTGTTGCTTATAGTAAATTTCAATATTTCAAGCAAGTAATAGAATTTTGTAACGAAATTCTGAAATAGCCCTTTGAGATTTTTCTTTTGCAATGTTGTTGAATGATCATGACAGATGTTAAGAGTGAGTATCATGTTTTCTAATTTGTTTTCCATTGTAAAAATTTTTATGTTTACATATACTGGCTGGAGTTCAATCCAATGTTATTTATGTTGATGGTACTTTCATTCTAAAACTTTTAAGTTGATTGAATATTGTATGTTTTAGGATGGCCCCAGAAGTAATTTTAGCCATGGATGAAGGACAGTATGATGGCAAAGTTGATGTATGGTCTCTTGGAATAACATGTATTGAATTAGGTAAGCATAGTTTTTTATTACTAGAACTACGCTTTTTGCTTTTTCTTCTTTTTTTGGTGATAGGATCTCACTGTGTAGCCTTGGCTGGCCTAAAACTTGATATATAGACCAGACTGGCCTCAAACTCCCAGAGATCCACCTTCCTCTGCCTCTTGAATGTTAAGATTAAAAGTATGAGCGACCAGTTTTGATCCAGTGTTTTATTTCAGTTACGTATTAAATTAGGTTTTTATCTTAGATCACAATTTATTGAAAAAAATAATGTGTGTATGGGTATTTTTGTCTGCATGTATGTCCAGGTTCCATGTGTGTGCTGGTATCCAAGGAGACCAGAAGAGAGTGTGTTGGATCTCCTGGAACTATAGTTGCTTATGGTTCTGAACCTCTGTATGGGTGCTGGTAATTGAACTCAGGTCTTCTGGAAGAGCAGCCAGTTAGTTCTCTTCACCATTGTGCCATCTTTTCATTTTCTGATTTAAGGGGAAAATTAAATCATTTAAAGCTTTTGCTTTGATTATCTGATGATTTCTATGTTAACCTAGTATATATTAGATTAAATATATTTGCTATTAAACTAGTTCTAAAATAATTTTTCAGTGGTCTTAAGTATTTATGTCTGACATTAATGATTAACACTTAGAATATATCTAATATAACCATATTTACTATCATAGATGGCTTCTTATTCATGAGTTATTCACTATTATATGTATTAATTACTCTTTTTTGAGACAGTGTTTCTCTATGTAACAGCACTGGTGTCCTAGAACTCCCTCTGTAGACCAGGCTGGCCTAGAACTTACAGAGATCCTCCTGCCTCTGCCTCTGGAGTTTTGGGGTTAAGTGTCAGTTGAAGGACTAGAGATACTTCTCTGTTGGTGGAATGCCTGCCTAGAGTGAAGCCCAGGCTTTGATTCTCCTGAACCATATAAAACTAAGACCGAGACAGGATGATTAGAAATTCAAAGTCATCCCCTACTACATAAGCAAGTTTGAACCTATCCTAGATTATAAAAACCCAGAAGAGATGAGAATAGGGTAGTCAAATCTGCCTAATTGAAGACCTCAATAATAACAGAAATGGATGTTATTCTTCCATTCATTCCAAATATCTTTAGTAATCTCTATAATAGTCCTTTCTTTTCTGTCTTCTTTTTGTTTTTTTTTTGTTTTTTTTTTTTTTTGGGGGGGGAGGGGGTTTGAGGCAGGGTTTCTCTGTATTGCTGTGGAGTCTGTCCTGGAACTCACTCTGTAGGCCAGGCTGGCCTTGAACTCACCAACACCCCATCCATCCATCCATTGTCCGTCTGTCTGTCCATCCTCCCTCCCCCTCCCCCCCAATATTTTCTAGGCAGAGTTTCTTTGTGTAGTCATGCCTGTCCTAGAACTTACTTTATAAACCAGTCTAGTCTTGATCTGTCTTGATCTAGTTAGATCTGTCTGCCTCTGGCTTTTAAGCTCTGAGATTAAATGTTTGGTATGATGATTCATGCCTTCATGCATGAGAGACTGAGATAAAAGGATTGCCATGCATTCTAGGTAAGCCTGCACTGCACAAATGACTAAAGCTACATATAGCATTTTTGGGATTTTGGAACCAAATGTCAATGGGGTTTGGTCTCAAGTGACAATACCATTTAGGTGGCATAATTTAATGTATACCATGTGTTTTTTTTTTTTTTTTTTTTTTATGAAAAATGTTCTTGTGTACTGAAGTGTTTAGGAATGTTGGGCCATCAGAGCTAGTAGTTTATCTTAGTTGAGTCACATTAAAAAGTTCTTTTTATGTGCTGGAAAAATGGCACAGCTGCTCTTCCAGAGATCCTGACTTCAGTTCCCAGCAACCATCTATAATGGAATCTGATTCTGTCTTCTGGTGTACACAAAGACAAGTCAATCATATACACAAAATAAATAAATAAAAAAAAATTTTTTTTTTTTTTTTTTTTTTTTTTTAAATCTTTTAGCTCCCAGCATTTAGGAGGCAGAGGCAGACAGATCCCTGTGAGTTCAAGGCCAGCCTAGTCTACAAAGCAAGTCCCGGGACATCCAGGACTGTTACCCAGAAACCCTATCTCCCAAAAAGGAAAGAAAAGAAAACAAAAGAAAAGAAAGAAAGGGAGGGGGGTCTTTTTACAATATTTTATTGATAATTAAGTTGTTTTTAAAATATGTTTTTAAAAACTTGATCAACATTTTAGTATTCTTATATATTCTCATTTTAACAGAAAGGTTTCCTCTCTTTTATAGCGGAGAGGAAGCCTCCTTTATTTAATATGAATGCAATGAGTGCCTTATATCACATAGCCCAAAATGAATCCCCTACACTACAGTCTAATGAATGGTAAGTATTCCTACAAGATATTAACACTTTTGAAAATTATGTAAATATTGATAAAATGTGAATCGTTATCAAGGTGACTTAATTTTATGTAAGTAAATATACTACCTGAAAAGAAAGTAGGTTCACTTTTCCATTACATTTTAGGTGCACAAATAACCCTAATAATTTAATAGCGTTTTTAAGCATTAATTTTTATAGCTAAAGTACATATTGTTATAACCTGTTGTGATCATTATTTGAAAAATAGATTATCATTCATGTTGCGTAAGACATGGTTAAAATGGTTTGATTCTTTAAAAATTTTTTAGGTTATTTAAAACCCTGGAATACACTCTGGCTAACAATGTTATACTCACTCATTGCTCTGATTTTTCTTCTGTCTTTGATTTGACGAGACTTTATGTAAAGTAGTATATGGAGAAGAGATTTACAAGTTTAGACTAGAATTGTTATGAGTTGAAAAAAGTTATGCATTAGTTGCCTTTCTCATTTCTGTAACAATTTACCTGACAAAGGGCAATTTAAAGAATGAAGAGTTTATTTGGGATCACAGTTTAAGGATATAATCCATCATGATGGGGGAGGTTTGATGGTAGGAACTTGATACATTGTGTCTTCAGTAAGGAAGTAGAAAGAGATGGATGCTGGAGCCTGCTTGCTTTGACTTATATATTTAGTCTGGGATTCCAGCCCATAGGATGGTGCCATCTAAATTCAGAGTGGGTCTTCTTCATTTTAACCTTTCTGGAAGCACTCTCATAGACCCACTCAGATGTGTGTTTCCATGGTGATTCTAAATTCTGTCCAGTTGATAGGATTAACCATGACTATTCTCCCCTGTCAACATTATACTACTTTGTCCTAAACTTGCATCTTCATTTCATAATGCAAAATGTATTATTCCATCTCTGAAAGTTTCCGTAGCCTTTAACAGTTCCAACATTATATAAAAAGCCCATGAGGTCTCTCCTGAGAAGTAAGGTAAACTCTTACTTGTAACCAATTGTGCAGTGAAAAACAAGTCTATAATCTCAGCCTTTAGGAGGATGAGACAGGAGAACTGCTCCAAGTCCAAGTCCAGTGTGAGCTATAGTGTGAAATCCTATCTCAAAAACCAAACAACAGCAACAAAAAAAAAAAACTGTTACCTTTTTAATATTGGAGCTAAACATTGATGGAGTAATTATTTATTGGGTGGTCGTTGAGCTCCCATGAGTAATATTGTCATGATACATTATAGGCTTTAGTATTTTAAAAATGTTTCTTTATTGGTTTTCTACATTTAATGGAAGTCTTATCCTTTTGGTGAGGGGCAGCAATTGCTCAGTGTTTAAAAATGCTCTTTTCCTCTGTGGTCTGCAGAATGGACTCCAGCACTACACGGAAAAGACCTGTTTTGAAATCCTCTTCTAAGAGGGAATAAGAGTGATGTCCTAAAACATATTCTATTGAAAACAATCCAAAGTACAAATCAGATACCCTGGTACCTAAAGAAAGGGGGAAAGAGAGTGGGAAAGCATATTTTAATGGGGAAAAACTCTAGATGTCCTTTCTTTTGACTCAATATCAATAATCTGATAGGTAAATATATAGGAGCAAGTTTTTTTTTTTTTTTTTTTTTTTTTTTTCCTTTTTTAAAGCCAAATAAACACTCTGCCATGGCTTTATACCCCTAGCCTAGGATTTTTAAATGATCTCTGTAAGTCTGGTTTTGGAAAAAGTTAAAAGAGTCATTGGTTGCTTTAGATCACTTTGAATAGATGAAATTATATTATCATTTCTTTTCCATTCTTCCTCCCCTGAGCAGGCTTGTTCCTTTTTGGATTTGTTTTTAAAAGGAAATAGCAATTTGTTCACTTGATACTTTCTTTACAATAGGTCTGATTATTTTCGCAACTTTGTAGATTCTTGCCTCCAGAAAATCCCTCAAGATCGCCCTACATCAGAGGAACTTTTAAAGGTCAGTATGTAAAACTTTGTTTATAACCCTTCAGAAATGATTTTGAAATGCTTTGTTGTTGGTGGTTTTTTTAAAATCAGGATTAACTATATTAAATTTATTAAAATTCTAAATTTGGGGTCAGTAAGTCAGTAAGGGCACTTGTTTCCAAAGCTAACAACCTGCATTGAATTCCTGAAATCCACATGGTGAAAAGTGAGAACTGATTTCAGCATATGTGCTTATGTTGTACCCCTCCTCGTGAATAATAAACACGTGTAATAAAGTTTATAGTTGAAAAACAATAATTTAAAAGTTTTTTTGGTCCCCCCCTCCCCCCCCCCGTGCTGGCACTCAAATAGGATTACATGTTAAACATGTACTAACTATTATTCAACTATTTTCGCCAGCTTTTTTTTTTTTTTTTTTTGGGAGATAGTATTTCAACTCTGTAGCCATGACTGTCCTGCAAATTGCTGTATAGACCAGGCCTTGAATTCAGAGATCTCCCTGACTCTGCCTCCTAAGTGCTGGCATGAACAACCCACTAGCTACAAATACTAATACTTCTGTATTGTTATTATCTTCTGAAACTTATATCTGTGATTCTGCGTATTGAACTCAGGACTTTGAGAATAGCAGTCAAGCATTTTCCAATTGAGCCATGCCCCTGGCATTGATAACTTACCTTAGATACTGTATTTTATTTTAAAGATTTTTAAAGTGAGGGAAAGTGGGCGAGCAGAGAGAGAAAGCCATTCTTCTGAGGCAGGATCTCAGCTAGGCTATAAACTAGCAATTGCTCCTCCATTTGTCTTCAGTTTGTTGTGGATACTGGCATCCAAACGATCTCATTTAGCAATGAAATATTATAAAAATTGTGCAGCTTTAGATTGATAAGATGACGTAGTGAATAAAGGCACTTGTCATCAAGCTTACTGACTCAAACCTGTTGTCTTCTTACCTCCATATAGATATGTATGCAATTACTTATTCATACTCCTTTCTTACAAAAATTTAATTTACAATATTATATTTTAAAATGTACACTCTATTCAATTTAACTGGCCATTTTCAAGAAAATGTTTCATTTGAGTACTGACCATTTAATTAATACTGGTAATAGTATAATAGTTTTACTGATTTTAATGTAGCGTTTTTCCTTTTTTTTTTTTTTTTTTTTTTTGACCCAAGGTCTCATCATGCCTTGACTGGCCTGGAACTCAAAATATAGACCAGGCTGACCTTGAACTTTCAATGATCCTCCTGTCTGCCTCCCCATTGCAGGAGTTATAAGTGTGCACCACCATAGTCTGTTTAATGTGGTTTTTAAAGCATCTTCTTTTGAGAGGGAATCGCATGTATGCTAGGCTGGCCTTGAACTTTTACTTTGTAGTTGAGAATGATCTCAAAATTGCTGATCTTCCTGCCTTTACAATCCCAAGTATTTTGTTCTCTATTTTACCTTGCTTATGTGGAAATGGGATTTAATTCAAGACATCGTGAATCCTAGGCAAATTCTATCAATTAAATTACATCCCCCAACTCTCTTAAAATATCTTGATCAGGTTCTGAAGAAGTGGCTCAGCATTGACTATTCTAGAGGACCCTAGGATTGATTCCCAGCACCCAGGACTAAAGCATATGTCGCCCTCTTCTCGCCTCTCAGAGTACTGCATGCACATGCTGCACAAGACACATGTAGATGAAATATTCATACACATAAAATAAAAATGAAAAGTATTGCCAGGCAGTGGTGGCACATGCCTTTAATTCAGGAGGCAAAGGCGGGTAGATCTCAAGAGTTTGAGGCCAGCCCTGTCTAAAGAGTAAGTTCCAGGACAGCCAGGGCTATATAGAGAAATCTTGTCTCAAAACACCATGAATGAATGACAGAAAAAAAGAAAGACTAGGAAGTAATTAGAACTTGACTATGGAGTTTCCACAAGATTTATATGAATTTCAGAACAGATCATATTATTTACAATCAGAATGTATAGAAAAACACTAAAAAAAAATTTCCATACTGCTTTTGTATTTCCAATGAGTAAGTTCACCTATGGTCTCAGAAATAAAAGCCTGACCAATTGAATACTAAAGCTAGGAACACATTTTGATAGTCTGAGCATGGCTGTTTATGGCTGTATTTCAGCACTAAGAGGATCACAAGTTTAAAACCAGTATTGATTATCATAGTGAAACTCTGTCTCAAGAAAAAGAAATCCATAATGTCTAGGTTCTGATTATTACTTAATTTACTGTTAGTAAACTTTCCTACTTAGGTATGCATCACTTAAAATCAGTGGTGGATTTTCTTAAAATTTATATGCTTTGATGATTTCAATTATATTTTCATTGACAACTAAATATATCATGGTCAGAATTTCATTCAAGAGTATTTATGTAGGCATAAGTTGAATGTGGAAATGACTACTTCTAAATATCAAGTGATAGATGTAATAGAATTAGATAGCTATAGATTGTATGGATTGTGTACCACAAGATAACAGCCATAGATTATGAGAAAGAAAGATATTTGAACTGATGAGGAAAAGATACAACCTGTTTTTATTTCTGCCCTTGCAGCACATGTTTGTTCTTCGAGAACGCCCGGAAACAGTGTTAATAGATCTTATTCAAAGGACAAAAGATGCAGTAAGAGAGCTGGACAATCTGCAGTATCGCAAGATGAAGAAACTCCTTTTCCAGGAGGCACATAATGGACCAGCGGTAGAAGCACAGGAAGAAGAGGAGGTATAATTCCCCAAAATAAGACAAATTTTTAGTTTGATTTATTGATTTCTTACACAACTTGTCCAGCCAAACATACTTATATCTCTGGTTCCAATATATGTGCTCTTACCATCAATTCTCTGAAATTCTAGTTATAAACAAAGATCTTTAATATTGTTAATATAGGAATTTGGGGTTTAACTCATTAGGGCTCCAGGTTTAGTCCTGAGCTTTTTATAAAAAACAAAAAAAAACTTGTTAATATATACTTTCTATCCAACCCTTTTACATTGTATAGAAAATGATACAAGAAGGCTTTTTAATTTTTTTTTTCTAAAGAAACCTGTTTGTGTTCATCAGGCTTCTCTTCTTTAATGTATAATTGGGAAAAAATTGAGACTTTTTAATTTAATGCTCTTTTCCTTTAGGAACAAGATCATGGTGTTGGCCGGACAGGAACAGTGAATAGTGTTGGAAGTAATCAGTCCATTCCCAGTATGTCTATCAGTGCCAGCAGCCAAAGCAGCAGTGTTAACAGTCTTCCAGATGCCTCGGATGACAAGAGTGAGCTAGACATGATGGAGGGAGACCATACAGTGATGTCTAACAGTTCTGTTATCCACTTAAAACCTGTGAGTATTTGCATTTCCCTGGGGGAGAAAAAAAAAGAAACAACAACAACCCTCAGCTTTGACCCATCATTTCTTCAAGGGATTAACAGATTTATTTGAAGTTTAAGAAGTTTAGATGTATGTGGTGGCATACATCTGAATTCCAGCACTTGGAAGGACTGGGAACTAAAGGACTGTTTATAGTATATAGCAGCTATATAATAAATTTGAGGCCATCAGTGTAGATATGACCCTGTGTGCCACCACCACTACCCCTAAAAAAAAGGAAAAAAGAAAACATTTTGGATGTGCTGGAGAGCTGGCTCAGTTAAGATCATATGTTGCTATTCAGAGGACCTTAGTTTGTTTCTCAGCATCCACAACAAGCATCTGTGTCACAAGGGTATATAATGCCTTATTCTGGACTCCATGGACACCTGCATTCAAAATGTACAGATAATCGTATGTCTTTAAAAGTCAGGGTTACATAGAGGACGAAGACCTCCCCTCCACTGCCACTCTCACTCTATGCCTAAAAAACACTTTGGATCATTTTTGTTTTCCATGGCAATGGCCTGAAGTTTTGGGTGGTTTTTTTTTTTTTTTTTTTTTTTTTTTTTTTGTTTTTCATTTTGGTTTTTCTGACAGGGTCTTTTTGTTGTTGTATGTTTTTAAAGATTTATTTATCATGTATGAATGCTGTCTGCACGAATACCTATAGGCCAGAAGAGGGCACCAGAACCAATTATAGATAGTCATAAGCTGCCATGTGGTTGCTGGGAATCGAACTTAGGACCTCTGGAAGAGCAGCCAGTGCTCTTAACCTCTGAGTCATCTCTCCAGCCCTAGTCTGAAGTTTGATCTGTTACCTGAATTTGAGTAGTAACTGTTTTGAAATACAAAAAGGTAATGAAACTATTTTAGAAAGGATAAAAATATAGATAATACCATATAACCTTTGATTAGAACATTTGGACATAGCAAGAATACATATTTGAAATTTATGAATAGCTACAATTAGAACATGAGTTGATTTTAAATAATGAACTAGCGGCAACTTTTGTAGAATTCTACCTCCCTCCCCCTTTTTTCTTTTTTTCTTCTTTGTGTGTGGTTTTGTTTTTTGGTTTTTTCTTTTTCTTTTTTGCAACACAGGGTTTCTTTGTGTAACTGCCCTGATCCTCCTGGAACTCTGTAGACCAGGCTGGCCTTGAACGTATAAAGGCCCACCTACCTGCCTCTGCCTCCTGAGTACTGGGATTAAAGGTATGCACCACTATCTGGCAGTACCCACTTTAATATTTAAAATACAACATTGAATTTGCAAATTTAGAGTTTAGTAAATGTGAGTGCTTGCTACATTCTCTGCAAAATTTTTTGTGTTTGTGCATGTCACATGTGTTGGTATGTTTACACATGTGGAAGCCCCAGTTGAACATTTTCTTTGATCACTTCCTCATCTTCCTAGGTTTCCAAACAAGGCCTCTCGGTTGCACTATCTCCGTAGTCCTCCTCCTCTGCAGTTTTGAGTATAAATTTCTTAATTTTCTCAAGAATGTTGACAAATTAAGGACCAAATGTGCAGCATAGTGATAGAGTGTTTGCCTAGCATACACGTGACCCTTAGCTCAATTCAGAGCAGGCTGGTCATCTTGGACTAGTGTGGTAACTCTTGGCAGGGGAACTTAATATAATATAGAACTATTCTGGCACACCTTTAATTCCAGCACTCTGGAGGCAGGGGCAGGTGGATCTCTATGAGTTTGAGGCCAGGCTAGTTTACAAAGCAAGTTCCAAAACTATAAGACTAGTAGAGCTGTTATACAGAGAAATCCTTCATTGAAAAGAAAAAAACCCATGTTCTTAGTTTACCTGTCTTTTAAAGACTGAGTTTTGTTGCGTAGCATTGACTGATCTTATACTTAGAGCAGTCCTCCTGGCCCTGCAACTAAGAATGATCTTTTTAGCTTTACAGCTTCTGGTATTATCTAGAAGTTATTAGGCATAATTATTTAAAAGTGGGAACAACCATATGCCTACCAACAGATGAATGGATTATAGTGTGTGTATATATATATATTTAGGGTTTTATTGCTGTGAAGAGACACTAAGGCACCTCTTATAAAGGAAAACATCCAATTGGAGTTTGTTTACAGAGCAAAAGTTTAGTTTATAATCACATGGCAGGGAGCATGGAAGCAAGCACTGGTGAACATGGTACTGGAGAGGTCAGTGAGAGTTCTGTATGATTGTAAGGGAGAGAGGGAGGGGGAAGGAGGAAAAGAGAGAGAGGAAGAGGGAGGGGGTGGAAAAGGGAGCCAGCGAGCCTGACTTGAGCTTCTGAAACAGGCCATACCTATTCCAAAAAGGCCATATGTCCCAACAGTGTCACTCCCTGTGAGTATGGGACCATTTTTATTCAGCTACCACATACATCTAATGGAGTATTATTTACCTGCAAATAGGAACAATGTTATTTAATAGAATCTGCAATGTATGTAGTACACTTAGAAAGATAAAGCAGGAGAATTATAGATTCCAGGCCAGTTTTAGGCATATAGTGAGTCCTTGTTTTTAAAAAAAAAAAAGGGGGGGGGGCTCAAGATTATCCAGATACAAATGGATGAATATTTTATTATGAAATGTTTTGCATAGCAAAACCTATGGAATAAATGATAAAATAGAAGTTACCATGATCTGAATAGGTGACAAAATGGAAGATACTGCTAATTGATAAGAGTTTCTATTTGAGGTGATGTTGAGTATTGGTAGTTTTATAACGTCGAAATGTAATTGGTGCCAATTATAATGACTAAAGGGAAAAAATTGTTAACCTTTCTTTTTAAAAGACAAGGTCTTGCTGTGTGGCCTTGGCTAGCCTAGAAGTCAAAAGAGATCTATCTGCCTGGGACTGAAGAGGTGCCTCAGCTTTCAAGAACACTGGCTGTGCTTCCAGAGGTTCTGAGTTCAATTCTCAGCAATAATGTGGTGGCTCACAACCATTTATGATGGGATCTGATGCCCTGTTCTGTCTGATGCCCTCTTCTGTCATACAGGCAGGAATACATGCAAATAGAGCACTCATATACTTAAAGACATAATCCCAAATGCTGGGATTGAAAGTGTATGCCACTATGCCCAGCTATACTATATTTTAACATATACACATACACAACCTGTTATTAATGATGGTCAAATTGTAATATCATTGTTCATATAAAAATTCCAATAAGCTTTGTTTCCTTTTCTTTTGAGACATGGTCTAGAAAAAGTTGGATTTACACTCATGGCAGTCCTCAGCCACAGGCAGCAGCCACCACACCCAGTAACAGTGATTTTTCTTTAATTTTTACAACTTTTTCTATTATTTTAGACAAACGGCAGAAATATTATAAATATAACCTTAAGCTAATCAGAGAAAACAAAGCAATAATATAGTGTTGTACTGTATTTTTTTAAAACTCAAGATTGTTTAATATTTTAATTACCATTATTTGAAACATTACATGTACTATTTTGTTTTTAAGTTACATTAAAGCATTTCAGTTTCTTTTTTATTATTTTAAAATATGTGTATATGGGGGGGGTACATACAAATGAGTTCAGTTTTCCCAGGAAGCCAATGGTGTCAGATCCCTGAATCTGGAGTCAAAGGTTTTTGTAAACTGCCTAATGTCTGTGCTAGGAATCATACTTGGGTCCCGTGCAAGAAAATACATGCTATTTGTCACTGAGCAATCTCTCCAGCTCAAGATTTTTCATTTGCTTATAATATATAGAATCTATTGGGGGGGGGGTTTGGTTGTTGTTGTTGTTGCTGGTTTTGTTTTTTTCCTTTGTTTCTGAGATGGGGTTTTTCTGTAGCTTTCAAGCTTATCCTGAAACTCACTTTATAGACCAGACTGGCCTCAAACTCAGAGATCTGCCTCCTCTGCCTCCTGAGTGCTGGGATTAAAGGCCTCTGCTCTGCCGCCACTTGGCTAATATATAAAATCTAAAACTGTATGTTTTGTATGTTGAATCTGCTTTTTCACTCACTCTGGAAATTATTTCAGCTAACTCTGTTGAAAATAACAATAATATTTCTACTTTGTAAAATCGTTTTTCTTGGAGATTATTGATTAAAATTGTCTTTAGTTTTTTACTTAGAACCTCAAAAAATGTTTCACCTTACAAAATATTTTCTGGGTTTTTTTTTTTTTCCCCCTCCTTTCTCTTTTAAGGAGGAGGAAAATTACAGAGAAGAAGGAGATCCTAGAACAAGAGCATCAGATCCACAGTCTCCACCTCAAGTGTCTCGTCACAAATCACATTATCGTAACAGAGAACACTTTGCAACTATACGAACTGCATCACTGGTATGTATGCCCTGTCCAAAAAGCAGTTTCTTTGTTATGCTAGTAGTGTGACCTCAAATATATTTAACTTTCTTATTTCTGTATTTGGACTTTATTTTGCAAAACATTCACCATTTAATTTCCCCATTAGAAGGAAGTACTCTTAAGAAATATTAAACTAGTAATGTCTTTGAGATACATAGTAAGTATTTTAGAATGCTTAAGAGAACTACAAAATACTAAACAGCCATTCAGATATTTTTTTTTTTTTTTTTTTTTTTTTTTTTTTTTTGTTATTTTGAAACAGCATCTTACTATGTAGATCAGGCTGAACTATAGTTCACTGAGGTTGTTCTAGGATGGCCGGGACAACACAAGACAAAACCCTGTCTTGAAACCCCCTTCCTCTAACAAAATCAAGAAAGATAAGTCACAATAGGAGAAACATGGTTAGTTAGCCAGAAAGAAGGAGCTGTTTGAAAATTGCAGTTGATTATATTAATATGCTCTATATATCATTTTCATTTCCCAAAAAAAAAAAAAACAGTGAATATGGATTATTTTTTCCATTACACACATATTAATGAGACATTTAAAACTCTATTCTGCTCATACTTGCAGATCTTCACTGCTAAGCCTGTCTACTTCTCTTGAGTTCTAACATCTTTGGATACTGGATACTGGCCAAAGTCATAAGCATGCTTGCCTTGATAGTCTAATTTTCATTAGACTATCCCCATTGTTAAAAAATATCTAAAATTGTAAAAGATTTTGAAAGCAGCCAGTTGTGGCGCACTCCTTTAATCCTAGCATTCAGGCAGCAGAGGCATGTGAATCTCTGAGAGTTTAACACCAGCACATTTTACAGAGCTAGTTCCAGGATCTACCCAGGAGGGAAGGAGGTGAGGAGAGGTAGCGAGAATGGTATGCTGACCTTGCAGAAAACCTAAGTTTGGTTCCCAGCACCCTCTCAGGCAGCTCACAACTAACTAACTCTTGTTCACACTTCTGGTCTCTTTGAACACCTGCACTAGCATACACATTCCCCTTCCCCTCACACATAATTGTAAAAAGTTAAAATAGAGATTGGAAAGGTGGCGCTTAAGTTCTAGAGAACAGAACACCCCTTCTGGTCTCTTGGGCCACTGAATCATGTGCATAGATACATATGCAGACAAAATACTCATAAACTAGGTTATTTTGATTAAAATAAATCTTGAAAAAATAAAGAATTCTTAAACAATAGGTCATACAGAAAGTCTGTGTCTTCCTTTCCTTTGCAGTTATAGATTTTATATTTACCCCAGATGATCTTTCTGGGTTTCTTTATGTTTTTGAAGCAGCATCTATCACTGGAACTTGGAGTTTGTCAATTTGACCAGACTGGAGGGCTAATAAGCTTCAAGGATCCACCTGCCTTTGCCTCATATTATAGGAAAACGTCACCATGGACTCTGGAATTTAGTTTCGTTTCCCATGCTTTCTCTCTCTCTCTCTCTCTCTCTCTCTCTCTCTCTCTCTCTCTCTCTCTCTCTCTCTCTCTCTCTCTCTCTCTCTCTCTCTCTCTCTCTCTCTCGATATTTATATATAGTGAAATGATGATAAAAAGGGTTAGGTTAATTTTTTTCTACATTGAGAACCACTTGTTTTTATAGTTTTATAGTTTGTTAAAAATCACATTTCCTGGAGCTGCAGAGATAAATGGCTCAACATTAAAGAGTTTACTCTTCCAGAGGTTCATGATTCAATTCCCAGCAATCACATGACAGCTTACAATCATAGTTAAAGTTCCATCTTGTTCATTTCTCCCTGGTTTGTTTTTTGTTGTTTATTACCTCTTTTGGATGGTGATTCAATCCCTTGCATAGGCTAGACTTGAACTCTATAGTATAAGTGATCTTCCACATCAGGTTTTTTTTTTTTTTTTTTTTTTTTCTTCAAGTAGTTGAGGCTATAGGCCTATACCTTTCTCTACAAGTGTTTTCAAATTTAGTTTCTCTTCTCTCTTCTCTTCTCGCTATTTGACACAGTCTCTCTCTGTAGCCCTGGCTATACTGGAACTCTCTGTAGTCTAGACTAGCTGGCCTCTAATTCAAGAGATCCACCTGCCTCTGCCTCCCAAGTGATGGGATTAAAGCATGTGCTCATTTTTTTTTTCTTGATCTGTTTAGTGTAACCTTATGCTTGTACCATGCTGTCTTAACTAGTGTAATGCTCATTTTCCTGTAGTATTATCCTCAATAATATTTTGCTAGTCTAGATACTTTATGGTTACATGTAAGTTTTAGAATTTTTTCTTTTTTCTGGTTTAGGGTCTGCTGGAGTTAAAAGAGTTATGAGCTGCCATGGGGGTGCTGGTAATTGACCTCTGGAAGAGCCACCAGCTTTTAACCACTGTCTTTAAAAAAAAAAAAAAATCTGCTAGAAATTTAATTGTGAACTGTAATGGAATTTCTTAAGTTAAATACCTCCTCAAGTAATAGTAATGTTCTAAATGCTTTATCATTATTATTTTGTTTAGTAGGGACATGGTCTTGTCTTGGCATAGCCTTAGACTCATTATGTATAGCACTACCAGTCTGGACTTGAGCTCTTGGTGACTCCTTTTCTCTGCCAAACAAATGCTAGAATTACAGGCGTGTGCTACAGTGCCCAGCTTTTCTAAATGCTTGTGAAAGAAAAATGTTTTGCTTTCTTGTCTTTTTCCTCAATTTGTATCTAGGTTACAAGACAGATGCAAGAGCATGAACAGGACTCTGAACTTAGAGAACAGATGTCTGGTTATAAGAGGATGAGGCGGCAGCATCAAAAGCAGCTGATGACTCTAGAAAATAAACTGAAGGCAGAGATGGATGAACACCGTCTTAGATTAGACAAAGATCTTGAAACTCAGCGTAACAATTTTGCTGCAGAAATGGAGAAACTTATCAAGAAACACCAAGCTGCTATGGAAAAAGAGGTGACTACTAATACTATTAATTTCTTTTAGACTGTGTCCATCTCTGAATTATCTAGATTAGCATTTTGATGTTTAAAGTTTCTACCCCTGGGAACCAAGTAAATCGATCCAGGAAAGAGAAGCATTTATGTTTTTGTTTCTTTGTTTTGGTTTTTCAAGACAGGGTTTCTCTGTGTAGCTTTGGGGCCTGTCCTCACACTTGCTATGTAGACCAGGTTGGCCCCAAACTCACATAAATCCACCCACCTTTACCTCCTAAGTGCTCGGATTAAAGGCGAGCACCACTAATGTCTGGTAGGTAGCATGTGGTTTTTTGTTTGTTTGTTTGTTTTTTCATAAAGCTTTCTGTTTAAAAAACAAAACTAACTCCTGTATGTTTTTCCCCCCCTCTCATTAGTTTTGTAAATGAATCCATGCATTGTGAATGTGAAAATTGAATGTATTTTAATTTCAAGTTCTGGGAGTTGTTGGTCATAGAATCATCCTCTGATACTTGAATGTCATGATCTCATAATGGATCATTTATCTATTCTAGAGTTTGTTATCCTGAGGTTATCTAAGAATGTGCATAAGTCTTAGATTTAGGTTTCAAAACTTGTAATTCTCTTTCCTATGTTTTAGAAGCCTTACTCAAACTCATATAACAGAATGATGAAGAAATGGCTCAGGGGGTAAAGTACTTGAACATAAAAGCCTGAGGATCAGAGCATAGCAGCCTGTGTGCCTATAAACCCAGTACACAGGGAATCACCAGATCAGGATGACTAGCCAGACTATCCAAAATAATGAGTGTGTAACCACGCGTGTGCATGCGCACACACACACACTCCTCTACCTATCTCAAAGAATGTTTGAGATTAGAAATAGAGTTTCAGAATAGTCCCTTTCCATTAGCCGATTCTATTCATACTATTTATAAATCATTATATATGATGTCAGTTGTAATTTTTAATATTCTTGTTTCTTAAAATCTTCTGTGATGTTTTTGTTGTGTTGTCAATTTAATTTTTCATACTTACTAAGTAGAATATAAGCTTAGTCATTTCATATAGCTTCATCAAACAGCCCCTCATGCCTGCCAGGTGTCTCATAGTTGTCCTTAACTTCAGCTTCAGGGGAATCAACACCCTTTTCTGTCTTGCCTGCTTACCCACACATGCCTACATATACACATATGCATAAATATTTTTTAAGGAATCTATCACCTTCTCTGCATTAAAAATTATTGCAGCTACTGGATTCTCCTCCCTATCCAAAAAAAGAATATTGGGAAATTAAGTATAGATAAAACTTGATTTTGATATAGCTTTATGAAACAATATGCAGAAATTTAGAATCCTGTTAAGTGATCAGAAAATGGGTATTAACATTGAGAATCAGTAGGTACTAATATATGTAGGAAAGCAACTTCTTAAATAGGACTTGCATTGTGATTAAAATCTGGTTCAGGCCTAGTAATGGTGGCGTACACCTTTGGTCCCAGCATTCTGGAGGCAGAGGCAGGTGGATCTATGTGTAAGTTGGAAACTAGACTGGTCTACAAAGTGAATTCCAGGACAACCAGGGCTACACAGAGAAACCCTGTCTCAAAAATAAATAACTGAACAAACAGATAGACAAATAAGTAAATGGTTAAGTAAATAAATGTCCAAGCTAGATGTGATAGTGTATGACTTAATCTCAGCACTTGGGAGGTGGAGTCGGTGGGTCTCTGAGTTTGAGGTTAGCCAGTTTAGCCATTGCCACACATTTAAAAAACCCTACAGATGATAGATAGACGGACAGACAGACAGACAGAATTGTTTAGGTCAAGAATCATTGCACATAACTGTAGCACGCAGCTTATTTGGGAAACAGGGGATTGAAAGATAAAGGAAAGCTAGTTAGAGCAAGGGTCTGGAGTTAAAGTTCAGTGAAGGTGATAGGGTGCTTCCCTAATAAGTACAGAGTTCATGATTTTATCCTAGCACTGCAAAAACAAAACAAAAAATAAATAAAAATGTACATCTTATAAAACAGAGTGGTTTTGCAGCAAAATGTTACATCTAATCTAGCTGAATTGATGAGCTCTTTGTTCAGTGAGAATCTCAGGAAATATGGAAGACAACCATAATCAACCCCTGGCCTCCACTTATGCACACTCACTCATGTATACTCAAACAGCACACACTCCACCCAAGTTATATATGAAACATATGCAATATTTAGCACTCACTTTATGGCCTTACAGATATGACTTACAGATAAGGATCTAATTTAAAGACAAATATATCTCATTATTTAATATATAAATTAACTCAGTTATAAAAGCTTGGTTCATAGAAGTAGAGATGGCTCAGCATTTAAGAGCACACACACCAGGGATTCTAAGTGCATTTTCGAGTACCACATCAGGTGGTTCACAACAGCTTTAACCCTAGTACTGGGGGAGCTGATTCCCCTTGCCTCTGCAGGCATCTCCACATACAAATATACACACACACACAAGTTTTAAATTATTTGTTAGTTTGAAGATAAACATGTATTTGGTTGTAATGAAGGGAACATATGGGTTCCCCCCACCCTTTGTTTTGTTTTAGTTTGGGGTTTTTGGTTTTGGCTTTTCGATTTTCAAGACAGGGTTTCCTCTATGTAACAAGAGCTGTGGCTGGCCTTAAATTCACTCTGTATAGATGAGGCTGGCCTTGAACTCAGTGATCTGCTTGCCTATGCCTCCCAAGTGCTGGAAGTAAAGGCATGTACCACTACTGCCTGGTGGAATGTATGTTCTTATTCAACAAAATGATGAAAATATTTTGGTTCTGTAAATACTTTTTAAAAAAATAAATTGCATCTTAGTGATCTCTGAAATTAGTCTGAGAAGGATAATGAATTGGTTAGGTTGTTTTGTTTTTTTGATGCTTCTGTTAGTCATCTTCTACTGCTGCTACTAGGACTAAGTATCCTTGGTAATGGATGCTTTAAAATAATCTCTTTAACTAATTTGATTCCTTTTTGTTTGTTTGTTTTTTAAATTCTGTATAGGCTAAAGTGATGGCCAATGAGGAGAAAAAGTTCCAGCAGCACATTCAGGCTCAACAGAAAAAAGAACTGAATAGCTTCTTGGAGTCCCAAAAAAGAGAATATAAACTTCGAAAAGAGCAGCTTAAGGAGGTAGTACTTTTACAAAAATTCCTTGTGTTTTTCTGTTATTAGTTGTGTTTAATGGTTCTCTACTCAGCAGTCAGCATAAAGATTATTTGTGGCCATAAGGTATATATCTATTGACATGAAGGCATTGATTACTATCTGTAATTTATTTAAGTTTCTCAGTTGAATAGGAACTATATAGAATCATTTCATGATCTAGATGTAATCCCCTACTCAGGAGTCTGAGGAAAATTAGCATCTTAAGGTTTATCTCCTTGAATAATACGATTAGTTGTTTGTTTTTCATTTTTGCCCAATATGAATGTAGTTCCATTAAAGAAAATTTCAGAATCTTGAAAAACAAAGGGGTTAAAATTATGCTTAAATGTTTTATGCTTAATCCCAATTAAAATGATTTTTTATTTTTACTTGAATCACTGCTGTCTTGTAAAGTTTTACCTATTAAGCAATCATTCTGTGCTTTAAAGCCAGGAACCATGAAAATAAAGCTGTGCAAAACTAAAGCTATTTGTATATTATGATGTACATAGAAACATATTGTCTATTTTAGATCTACTGAGCTCTTGTAAAAAGAAATTAAAGTACTTTTAAGTTTACTGTGTAATGGATTGGGGATGTAACTTTCAGCATGATAAGGACCCTACATTAAGTTCCCTTCACTGTGAAGAGTAAATAAGTAAACTTACCATAGCTAGTCATGGGGATACATACCCACATAATTCTACCACCAAGGAAGCTAAAGCAAGAGGATTGTAAATTCAAGACCATCATAGGCTACACAGTAATAATTACTAGTACCATGTTATACTATACATTCATATTTTTATGTAGCTGATTTTTTTTTTCCTTTTGGTTATTTTTGTTTGCAGGAGTTGAATGAAAATCAGAGCACACCTAAAAAAGAAAAGCAGGAATGGCTTTCAAAGCAAAAGGAGAATATACAACATTTCCAGGCAGAAGAAGAAGCTAACCTTCTTCGGCGTCAAAGACAGTATCTAGAACTAGAATGCCGTCGCTTCAAGAGAAGAATGTTACTTGGGCGACATAACTTGGAACAGGACCTTGTCAGGGAGGTATGTATATTTGAATGATATAAAATTAAAATAAATAGATAAATATATTCAGTGCTAGAAATTAAACTTTTTTTTTTTTTTTTTGTAAGACAAGGCCTTACTCTATGGGCCAGACTGGCCTAAAACTCATTATTGAGTCCAAGCTGCTCTTAACCTCCTCCCTCATCTCCTGATTCTTATAATAAAACTCTTTATCAATGAATCCTTTGTGGAAATTGAAAATTTCAACAGGTGTGGAGGGAGGACTACGCCTTTAACCCCAGCACTTAGAGGCAAAGGCAGGCTTAGATGTTAATGGACATTGTTAGTACCATCCTGTGAGCAAATGATTGAACTATAGCTTTTTGATTTATTTTACAAGATAAGGTTTCTCTTTGTAGATCAGGCTGGCCTCAAACTCAGAGATCTACCTGCCCCTACCTCCCAAGTGCTGGGGTGGTCAAAGGCATGTGTTACCACTGCCTGGCTGAACTATAGCTTTTAAAAATATGCAGAGTAGTAGCCAGTCGTTAGTGGTGCACCCCTTTAATCCCAGCACTCAGGAGGAGGCAGAAGAGGCAAGCAGATCTCTTGAGTTCAAGGCTAGCTTGGTCTACAGTGCTAGTTCAAGGACAGGCTCCAAAGCAATACAGAGAAACCCTGTCTCGAAAAAAACCAAAACAATTAAAAAATTAAAAAAAAAATAAAAATATGCAGTGACTAGAGCAATGGTTCAGTGGTTAAAAATGTTTTCTGATCTTCAGAGGACCTTTATTCAGTTCCCAACACTCAAATAAGGCAGCTCATAATAGCTTGCAATTCCAGCTTCAGGGGATCTGACACCTAATTCTGACCTCTCAGGATATCCACACACATGTGGTATATACACAGAGTATACATAATTAAAACTAAGTAAAACTTAAAAAAATTTTCACACAATTATTTACTTGTCACATGTACACTTGAAGTTCTATCTTGTAGAAATAGTTACATGATTATATGATACAACATAAGACATTCGTTGATATTGGTAAAAAGCAAAAACAAGAGATCCAACTTAAATGAGATGTCTTGTAGAAGTGGCTGAAATTGTATCACAAGGGTAGTAGCTTTTGGTAAAAATAAAATGTCTTTTGCTGGATTTGGTGGCTCACACTTGTAATCCCAGTATTTGAGGGGGAGAGGCAAGAAGGTTTTTTTCATTCATGGCAGTTGAGGCTACATAGTGAAATTTTGTCAAAAAAGAATGGAAAAAAGTCTTTGCATACTGATCTGATCTGGATATATATGCATTAGATCATCAAATGAAGAAAATGTTTTGTGCCTATATTATTTAATTAGTTGCTATTTTATTTTTTTTAATAATGGATATGTCCCAGCAAATAAGATATAGCTGAGAAACATCAACAACAAGCTGTTGGCCTCTAGGGATAGAAAGTTTGCAGGGTAATGGGTACCATTTAGTTTTTACATTATTGTGTAGTGATATTTATGATTTATTAAAGCTTGCCTGAGGATTCAGAAAGCAAAATCAGCCATAAGCCATAGAAGCCACACACACACCTTTAATCCCAGCAGCCAGAAGCTAGCAGTGCTGGTACACATCTTTAATCCTAGGACTCAGGATTAAGAGGTAGACGGATCTATGTGAGCCCAAGGCCACCCAGATCTACATAAGATTGATCCAGTCTTAAAGACAACGAGCTCATACAAAGATGGTCTCAGCACCTGGGATCACATGCCTTTAATCCCAGCATTAGGTGTATAAGACAGGAGCAAGGTCTCAGCATTCATTCTCCTGCTATGTTGAGAATAGGAACACCCCAGCCCTTTTAGAGGTAAGAGCTCTCTGCTGGTTTGGCTGCTTTGCTTTCCGGATCTTCAGGTTGAACCCCAATATCTGTCTCTAGATCTTTTGTTTTTTTGTGTGTGTTATTATTGGTGTGTCTATATGTACACATACTTTTTCAAAGTATTTATTTATTGTGTGTGTGATTATATGTACACCTGTGTGCATGCAGTGCCTGTGGAGGGAAGAAGAGGAGGGTGGTTGTGTGCCTTGGAAGTGGAGGAGGCTATGAGCTACTATGCAGGTGCTGAGAACTGAAACCATGTCCTTTGCATGAGCATCAAGTGCTTTTTTTTTTTTTTTTTTTTTTCACTGAATCATCTCTTTAGCTCTATTTGGGAGAAAAAATAATTTTAAGAGAATTTCTTTCTTTCCCTCCCTTCTTCCCTCCCTCCCTCTGCCTGCCTGTCTCGCCTGTCTGTCTATCTGTTGGTTTTCTAAGACAGTTTTCTCTCTGTAACAGCTTTGGCTGACCTGGAATTAACTTTGTAGATTAGGCTGACCTCAAACTCAGAGATATGCCTGCCTCTGCCTCTGGAGTGTTGTGATGAAGGTGTGCACTATCACTGTCCAGCAAATATTTTTATTTTATTATATTTTAGTTTTGAGACAGTGTTTATCACAGCCCTGGCTGCCCTGGAACTTGATGTGTAGACAAGGTTGGACTTAACATCAGAGTTCAACCTACCTGTCGCCTAGTTCTGCTTTTACAGGTTTGAGCCACTATGTCCAGCAAGAATAACATTCATTGGGCTGGAGAGATGGCTCAGAGGTTAAGAGCACTGGCTGCTCTTCCAAAGGTACTGAGTTCAATCCCCAGCAACCACATTGTAGCTAACAGCCATCTGTCATGAGATCTGGTACCCTGTTCTGGCCTGCAGGGGATACATGCCAGCAGAACATTGTACATACAAACATTCATTCATTTAAATAAATAAATAACATTCATTCTTTACCACCATGTGCTACATATTATTCTGAGATCTGATTAAGAACTTGCTGGGTGTTGGTGGTGCATGCCTTTAATCCCAGCACTGGGGAGGCAGAGTCAGGCAGAAGTCAGGCGGATTTCTGTGAGTTCGAGACCAGCCTGGTCTACAGGGCTAGTTCCAGGACATGCTCCAAACCAATGCATAGAAACCCTGTCTTGAAAACTAAAAAAAAAAACCAAACTGAACTTATCTCTTCCTCCTTAAATCTTTTTTATGTACAACAACACTCAAACACACAGACACAAAGGCCATGGAAACTTAGTATTTACTATGCAGCCATTATTGGAGCACACAGTTAATTGTATCTACTTTTTTTTATGTGTGTGTGAGTATTTTGTTTTGTTTTTTATGAGGGGGTGTGCATGTACACAGACAGATGCTTGCTTTTTTTTCCCTCACCACCCCCCCCCCCCATCTCTCATACTATAGACACACACTATCATGGCTAGAATTTATATGGATTCTGGGGATTTCAAATCAGATCTTCATGTTTCCATGGCAAGTGATTTACCCACTGAGCTTTCTCTCCAGTCCATTTTGTTTATTTGTTATTGTGTGCCCCCCAACCCGTTTGTAAAGCTATAAATTATTCCTTTGTTTTTTAAATTATATTTTTTAGGAGTTAAACAAAAGGCAGACTCAGAAGGACTTGGAACATGCAATGCTACTACGACAGCATGAATCCATGCAAGAACTGGAGTTTCGCCACCTCAACACCATTCAGAAGATGCGCTGTGAATTGATCAGACTGCAGCATCAAACTGAGCTCACTAACCAGCTGGAATATAATAAGCGAAGGGAACGAGAACTAAGGCGAAAACATGTTATGGAAGTTCGACAACAACCTAAGAGTTTGAAGGTAATGTTACACTTTATCAAAAAGTATAGGCTTTTTGATAAAGGCATATTTGTTGAATTAGTCCTTTTCATGCTTGTTTGGTTCCTGTATGAACTGCCTGTTGCTTTAGCCTTTACTTGTGTACTTTGTAACAAAGAAGAAGAATCACCAAAAATTTTAACTATGGGAATTCTTAATCAGTGTTTTTAAATGTACACAGTATCTGATGCTGACATTATAATCTATAGGTCAACATACTTACCTGTTAGTTTCTTTTTAGTCTAAGCAACTCTTTCTGGGACTCTTAATTTAATGTCACTATGATTTATATAAAAGTTTTGGTATTTTGAGACAAGAGTCTCACTATGTAGCTCTGTCTTTCCTATATAGACCAGCCTGGCCTCAAATTCAGAGATCTGCCTGCTTCTGCCTCCCTGAGTGCTGAAATCAAAGGTAGGTGTTACCACCAACTGGCTGATTTATATAAAATTTAAAAATATAAAAGTGGGGTTGGATAGATAGCTCAGCATTAGGAGCAGTGGTTGCTATTTCAGAGGACCTGGGATTCACAACACTGACATGATGGTTCATAACCATCTGTATCTCTAGTACCTATACTCTGACATTTTCAGGCCCCAGGCATACATGGAGCAGGCAAAACACTCAGAATTATAAAGTCAAATATTTTTTTTTAAATTTAATATAAAATTTTGCTCTCTTCCCCTATTCTACATTTCTAAATCCCATAAAGATTTTTAAAAAAAAAAAAAATTAGCTAACTAAACTGTCCGCCTCAAATGGAACTTAACAGTTCTAAGGTACTTTTCAAGTTTCTTTTTTTTTTTTTTCTTCCACGAAGTAAAGTCGTTGAATCAGTCTTTTAAAAACTACAAACAAAAAGCACTCACCAAATAAAGTTTTCACCAGAGAAAAAAGTTCACTTAAATCTGTACTTGTTTGCACATTTAAATTTTCTGTTAATGTCCAGTAAGTGCCATGTCCCAGAGTATTTTCTGTTGAAAGATTCCTTTTCTGCCAAGTATGGCACCCCTGTAATCCAGGACTCAGAAGACTGAAGCATTTACAGTAGTTATGTAGAATATCAATGGTAAAAACTTTTCAGACTTCTTTGTTTATATAGTAAGAGAGAATCATCTGGCTATAGTTCAGATACTTGCCAACCAAAAGTTTTCTTTTCTTCCCACTCCTTCCCCCCCCCCCCATTTTTCAGGATGAAGTCTCTCATATATTGTAGGTTAGGTCATTATGCATCAAAGATTACTTTGAATTCTGTCTAACCCTTTTGAGTGACTACCATGTTATGAAGTGCTGAGTAGCTTTATACACACTGAGCAACTACTAAGTGAGCTACATTCCTAAACTCCACCAAAGATTTTTTTTTTATCTGTATTTGTTTTTGAAATTATAGCTTTAAAACCAACAGTACCCCCAAAATGAACCAAACTGACACTAACTCAATTGACACTAATTTGTTTTCTGTAGTCATTTGGTAATTCTGGTGACTACATTTTTCTAAGGCTTAGTTTCCTATAACCATTTTAGCTTGAGAGCTTTTTAAAGAGTAATTATCAGGCTGGCCTGAACTCCCAGAGATCCACCTGTCTCTGCCTCATGCACCACCACTGCCCAGCATAGAATATCCTCTTCTGATAACAAATGAACATAAAGTTTCCCTCTTGGATGGAAGAAAATTTCCTCTTAACGTTTTTCTTACTTGTACACTTGGTTTCAACAAAATGTTTGGTTTACTGCCAACACATCCCAATAAGTGTCTGTCTATGCCACCTGTAGTTTTCTGTGAGATGCGCTAGAGGAGAAACTTCAGTTGACTAGGATTTGTGAGAGAAGGGTGCTGTTTCTGTGGAATGGATTAGATATAAACTACTGCCTCTTCTATTTCTTCAACCTGCTTTCCGGGTGATAATTATAGTTTGAATCCATCTCACTTTCTTTGAGTTTTTTTGAGACAGGATTTCTCTGTGTAGCCTTGGCTGTCTTGAAACTCACTCTCTAAGCTGGGCTGACCTCAAACTCACAGAGATCCACCTGCTTCTGCCTCCCAGGTGCTAGGATTAAAGGTGTGCACCACCACTGCCCAGCTTTCTATCTCTTTTCTGTTGACTCCACATGGAAGGATGTAATTTATTCTTTGTCTGACTGTTAATATTTCTCTGGGCATTGGTTCTACTTTTTTTTCCCCATTTTCTGTGTGTGAATGTTGGCCTACATATATGTATGTGTCTCGTGCCCTCGGAGACCAGAAAAGGGCCTTTATCCTCTGAAACTAGGCGTACAGGTGGTTATGTGCTCCCATATGAGTGTGAGTGCTGGGAACTGAAACCAGTCCTCTGTAAGAGTACTCAGTGTTCCTAAGGCTTCCCTGACTTTTTTTTTGGGGGGGGGGGTCAGCAGGTAGGTGGGGACATTTTATATCCATCTTTTGCTTTTTGAGGCACAGTCTCATAGTCCAGGCTGGTCTCAAAATCACTGTATAACTGTGAGTAACCTTAACTCCTACTCCTCTTAATTCTTCCCAAGTACTAGGATTATAGGCATGTGCCCAAATCCAGCTCTTCCTCTTTGTTTTTGCAGCAGTCTCTCTATGGAGTCCATGTGGGCCTTAATCTCCCTACCTCAGCATCCCAAGTGCTGGTATTATAATACATGCCAAACATGATTTAATTTTATTTAAGGAGTTCCCCCACCACTATCATTTTATGGGATGATTACCATTTTGAAGAAGAGATTTACACAGAGGTTGAAGGAATGTCTAAATTTCATTATTTTATTACCTGTCTAGAAGCACTTGGTAGAATGTTGATCAAGAACAGTATTTAAGCTGAATGTGGTGGTACTTTAGTCCCAACACTCTAGAAGCAGAGGCAGCCTGGATATATATCAGGCCAGCCAGAGTTACATGGTGAGACCTTGTCAGAAACCAAACCAAACCAGTATCTAAGAGCAATGACGCTAAGCATGACTAAACCAAAAGTCATTTATAATGTTCCATTTCTTTACCGTTCATCACATATGAGCCCCAGCATATGGCCAGGATATCGTTCCTCAGTTGGTGATGAATATAAAACTTTTATATTAGGGAATAATGTGGAAGTTTTTATTATACCTATAGGCAAATGCTCTACTTCTAAATTAATCCCCAGCTAAACTTGGGTGGTTTTTTTGTATTCTTGACATGTATAGTTTTTCAAGTAATTTATACTTAGCATTATTCATAGTGGTAAAATATTTTTAACTGTAGGTTCTGTCTCGGTAAGTGAATATATTCTCACTTCTAGGTTGAACTAACATACCTTAGTGCAGTGGTTTGGCATGCCTTCAATACCAGCACATGGGAGGCAAAGGCAGGTGAATCTCTGAGTTCAAGGCCAGCCTGGTTTACAGAATGAGTTCTTGAACAGCCAAAGTTATACAGAGAAACCCTGTCTCATAAAACCAAAATAAAGAAAGGAAAGAAGGAATAAAGTAAGCCATTATTGCAAGTGGCAGGAAGGAAGGAAGGAAAGAAAAGAAAAGAATAAAGTAAGCCATTACTGCAAGTTGCACATGCATCCTGTAGTTCCAACACTGAGCAGGCTGAAGCAGGAGGACTTCAAGGACAACTTGGTCAAACAGCCGGGGGTGAACTATTACTAAGTATGATTCTATCGATTCTATCTAGCTTACTGTCTTAAGGAAAAGTTAGTTGTAGTAATCATTTATTATTGCACACTTCAAAATCAATCTAAAGTTTGGTACATATTTTACACAGAAAGTAGGATCTGTTATAGATTGTGGTTAAAGTTGAGATTATTGTGGAAAGAAAAGAAATTGGAGTGAAACATTCAAAATGAACAAAGAAACATGTTTTTTATTTTCTGCCTCAGATATCTGGTAAAATTCTACCTTGCTGTGTTTATAACTACCATAATATTTTTTATGAGATAAAATTTAGGTTTATGACATGAATATTTGCTAAGTGTAAAAGATATCTGCAGTCTTATCATAATGACTTTGTGGTTCTCTATTTTCTTCCTGACTATATATATGTAAGTATATACAATGCCAAATGCTGTATGTTGAGACAACTTCACCCCCCCCCCTCTCTCTCTCTCTCTCATTTTTTTATTCTGTTCCAGTCTAAAGAACTCCAGATAAAAAAGCAATTTCAGGACACATGCAAAATTCAAACCAGACAGTACAAAGCATTAAGAAACCACCTACTGGAGACTACACCAAAGAGTGAGCACAAAGCTGTTCTGAAAAGGCTCAAGGAGGAACAGACTCGGAAGTTAGCCATCTTGGCTGAGCAGTACGATCATAGCATTAATGAAATGCTTTCCACGCAAGCTGTGAGTTTACTTTGTTTAGGCAAAACAAATTACCCACCCTTTCTTCCTATCATCTAAATGAAACCCTAGCAATTAAATTGGGAATGATAGCTCTTTAATAGCCCAAGAAAAAATATTGGCCATCTGTGTTCTTCCTATGTTTAACATTGCTTGAAAAAACCATGGTCTATATAGATAAATTTAGAAGTAAGATCTTATAAAGTCTCCCTTCGGGTATGGATTCCAACAGCTTATCTAGATCAGATGAGTAAACTGTAGGCAAAACATACTTCTGTGTATAGAAATCTAAATAGTTACCTTGGAGCAAGTGGATGAAATACTGTACAAGTACTTTCTTAAAGGACCAAATAATATTTTAGACTTTGCAGACCAGGAGTTAAGGAGTTAAAAGTGATAATATTATGTAACCATAAGGAAATGTATTAACAGTTTTATCTATTGGACTGAACTAACTTACACAAGAAGTTATCCAGATCTGGCTTGTGTGCTGTGCTTATTGACTTTAATTTCTACTAGGGAAGGAGAGATTGAGCACTTTATATATAGACCCAATCGTGGTCTAGATTTTTCTTAAGAAAAAGTATAGTTAGTTACTCAGTCATCTTCAGAGCAGCTTATGATAATATCTTCTGTCATGCAGTATTGGTTATTCTCTTTCTTTTTCAGGGATGTACATACCAGGCTGCAAGGAAGAACAGTTATGTAGTTTACAAAAACGTAGTGTGTCTTCTCCTTCTTCTTTTCTGTAAATTATGAATGGATAGGTAGTTCACAGTAGAACATACCAGTTTCTCTTTTTTCTCAGCTGCGTTTGGATGAAGCACAGGAAGCAGAATGCCAGGTTTTGAAGATGCAGCTGCAGCAAGAACTGGAGCTATTGAATGCATATCAGAGTAAAATCAAGATGCAGGCAGAGGCCCAGCATGATCGAGAGCTTCGAGAGTTGGAACAGAGGGTCTCCCTTCGCAGGGCACTCTTAGAACAAAAGGTATGAGATAATGAAAGGAAGAGAATTGTTCTAGTTTTTGTTTTATCCGAAGAACTGAATGTGTGTGTGTGTGTGTGTGTGTGTGTGTGTGTGTGTGTGTGTGCGCGCGCGCGTGCCCACAACCTTGGGGGATGGGCGGGCTTGTATTTTTATTTTCTTTCAATATATATGATGTATTGTGTATGTATGATTTGTGTGTGTGCGCGCGCATATTTCTGTGTGAGTGCAGGCTTCTGTACCATGGCATGTGTGGAAGTCAGAGAACAGTGTCTTGTCATTCTTCACTTTCCACTGTGTTTTTGGTAGCTAGCTCACAAGTTTCTGGGGCTCTTCTGTCCACTTTGTATTTCACCATAAAGATGGTAGAATTACAAATTACAGGTATGGCTTTTACACTTTGCCTTTTTTTTCTGTTTCTTTTCTCTTTATTTTTTGAGATAAGGTTTCACTATGTAGCCATGGCTGGTCTGTAACTCTATGTAGACCAGGCTAGCTTTAAACTCAGAGAAGGTACACCATTACCTGGCTGTATCTAGTTTTTACATGGGTTCTGGAGATCTAGACTCAGGTCCTCATGCTTGCATGTCAAATACTTTTACCTACTGAGCCATCTCCGTAACTCTTTTTTGTTTTGAGGCAGGGGCTCACTTCCATAGCCCTGGTGGGCCTTGAATTTGCAAGGTAAACCAGGTTGGCTTTGAACTCACAGAACTTTCTCTGCCTCTACTGGTGATGGGATTAAAGATTTTCACCACGACACCCAGATCCACAGCTTTTATTTTGATATTTTGGACTGAGAAAATGAGCCTAAGGCTCTTGCATTTGGCAAGACAAGAACTCTACTAATATCAACAGAGGTTTCATTAAATTTCTTTCTTAATACTGTCTTTTATTAGTTCTAGTTTGGGTAGTTTAAGTATTCAATATTGAACTATTATTTATTTATTTATTATTTATGTATCTCTGGCTGTCTTGGAACTCACTATGTAGGCTAGGCTGGCCTTGAACTCACAGAGATCCATCTGCCTCTCCCTCCTGGGTGCTGGGATTAAAGTCATGTGCCACTACACCCAGCTTAATAATGAACTCTAAATGAGTTCTAAAACTCAAAAGAATATTGTGGCAATATTTTGTTTATGTTCTAACAAAGAAAGTTTGGCTGAAGATTAAAGAAGCAAAGCAGCTAGCCGCTAAAGAGTTCTCACCTCTATCAATGTTCAAAATGTTATCTTCAGACTGCATCTGTCTCCACCAAGCCTCCTACTTCCTGAGCTCCTGTCTCCTCCCGTTATATTCCTCTTTAGTGCTGGGATTAAAGGCATGGGCAGGAATATATATTTCATTCTTACATCTTTGATCTGAAACTATGCAGATGGTGGGAGATTACAGAACAAAAGTTAAAGCCTGTCCCACAAGCTGAAAAATACACATTTTATACATCTAGATTCACCATTGCTGTTTGGAGGGTTTGGGGGAAGCAATTCCTAATAGCTTAAATTGGCCTTGAACTCACCAATTATCCAAGGTTAGCCTCGAACTCTTCTCAGAGTTGTTTCCATCTTAGGGTTGGGATTACAGGCATTCAGCACCATGATACCATATCTTTACTTTTTCTGATTTATTCTTGGTCAGAAATATTAGAGAATAGGTCTAGAATCCTGAAATGAATTTACCATCCAAAGTACTAAGGTGTACGTGTGTCTGTCTGTTTGAGAAAGATTGACTTATTAAAAGGATAGTAGCAAAAATTTTTGAGAAGTTTTAAACAGGCATTCATTGTGAGAAATGGTAGTCATTTATGTACCAAATTCATTGATATGTTTCAAAGTTCTTGAGTAGTAAATTCACAATAACTGATGTAGTATTAGTCCATTGTGCATTACTAGTGAGTATTTGTCTATTGATTGTAAAATAACCATTGTTTTGGACCATTGCCGTGTAGGGTTTTCTGTTCATGTAGTTCTTTTAATAAAAATAGAGTGCCTTACTTAGGTTTTTTTTGTGTACGTGTATGCTTATATTAACTGTTAATTAATAAATTAATATTTGTTTATTTTAGTTATGCCTGGGGTTACAGGTTTATAATCACAACTACTGGGGAGGCCAAGGCAGGGGAACTGCATGTTCAATGTCATAATGAGCAAATTAGCATGACCCTGTCTTAAAAAATAAAAGCAGAAGTCAGATGGTAGTGACAGCTGCATACACCTCTAATCTCGGTGCTCGATAGGCAGAGCTAGGCAGATCTATGTGAGTTTGTGGTTAGCTGGTCTACAGTGCTAGTTTCCGGACAGCCTGGGCTATACAGAGAAACCCTGTCTTGGGGGTGGGGAGTTAAATAAGTAAATAAAAGTTGGGCCAATGAGCAGGTAGGGGCATTTCCTGTCAAGCCTGACTGTCATCCACCTCCTCTGCTGTCCCTCTTCTTTCTTTTCTCCCCTCCCTTCCATTCCCTTGCCCTGTCCTCTTTTTGATGCAGGACATTGCACATACTCAGCACATCTCTGTGACTGAGCAACACTTCCAAACCCTGTTCTTCAAAATTTACCTGTAGATGAAAGCCTTCTGGGTGCTGGGATAAAAGGTGCATATCACCAAATCCAACAATGAAGGCAATTTAAAAAGCAGAAGGAAAACTTTCTATTGCATAATGAGTTGGCAATCAGGGTCTACTGATTATTAATATTAGTGTTGCTCAAAAGATGGGGCTGGAGAAATGGCTTAGTGGTTAGAGCAATGGTTCACTTTCTAGCACCCTTATAGTGACTTATAAACACTTGTAACTCCAGTTTCAGAGAATCTGACACCGGGTTCTTTTGTTCATGAGTAACAGGCACATACATGTTGCAGACAAAATACCTATATGCATAAATAAAAATAATTTAAAATGCATAGTGGCTGAGGCAGGAGGATCCAATATTCCAGCATAGCTTAAGCTAAGTAAAGATTGGACTGTTTGAACAGACACACATCTTATATGATATAAAACCTTTAATCCCAGCATGTCTTTTAAAATAATTTTCAGTATATATCCATAAAATAGCTGTTGATTGTTTTTAGTAGTTATTGCTGCTTTAGTTTATAGATCTGAAACATAAATTGATCTTTTCACTCCATTTTCCTACCCTGACAGATTGAAGAAGAGATGTTGGCTTTGCAGAATGAACGCACAGAACGAATACGTAGCCTGCTCGAGCGGCAAGCCAGAGAAATTGAAGCTTTTGACTCTGAAAGCATGAGACTAGGTTTTAGTAACATGGTCCTTTCTAACCTCTCCCCTGAGGCATTCAGCCACAGCTACCCAGGAGCTTCTAGTTGGTCTCACAATCCTACTGGGGGTCCAGGACCACACTGGGGTCATCCCATGGGTGGCACACCACAAGGTTGGGGCCATCCAATGCAAGGTGGACCCCAGCCATGGGGTCATCCCTCAGGGCCAATGCAAGGGGTCCCTCGAGGTAGCAGTATGGGAGTCCGCAATAGTCCCCAGGCTCTGAGGCGGACAGCTTCTGGGGGACGGACGGAACAGGGCATGAGCAGAAGCACGAGTGTCACTTCACAAATATCCAATGGGTCACACATGTCTTACACATAGTAATTGAAAGTGGCAATTCCTCTGGAGCTGTCTGCCAAAAGAAACTGCCTACAGACATCATCACAGCAGCCTCCTCACTTGGGTACTACTGTGTGGAAGCTGAGTGCATATGGTATATTTTATTCGTTTTTGTAAAGCGTTATGTTTTGTGTTTACTAATTGGGATGTCATAGTATTTGGCTGCCGGGTTTTTGTGGTTGGCTTTTTGTTTCTTTGTCTTTAACTTTTGGAAAATTTTAAAAGTGGGAATAGATAAATAATTTCGTGTGTGGCAAAAAGAAATTGGCTTAACAGAAGGGGTTTTATCTGAACAATGTAAAAATAAAATGAACCAAACTGGCCTGAATCATCACTTTAGGATGTCCATAGCCTAAAAAGGTTATTGGAAGTTGTAAAGCCTTCCTCCATATTCCAAATTCTTCGAGTCACTGACAGCAGGCAGCATCTGTACTGAAACACGTTCTTACTGAAACATACCTCCACTCCTTACCAGTGTGTTTCCTTTCTTTGTGAAACTGGTCTGACTTCTCAACTTCATTCAGACTAAAAAACAGAAAACCATGAACATTAAAAGATTGATTGTATTTACCTTTTAAGGTGGTAGAAAATCATTTAGTTCTTTGCTAAGTGCTTCATAAGTTTGTCACTGATTTTGTAGGTTCTATTGTTGTAAAATGGAGTTGCTTAAGGAGATCATAAACTCTGTTGGGTTTGCACTAACAAGTCTGTGAGCTATCAGAGGGAAAATCCAGAGAGTTGGAGGGCCCTAAAAGTTCCTATGATAGATATATGTTCAGCATGGAATGAGGAGGTAAAGCCTGTATATCCTGACATTATGTTTCTTATGCAGTGATATCTCATGCTACCCAAACTATAAGACCCCAAACAGTACTTTTGCTTTGTTTGTATAAAAACAAAGACATTTAGCCAACACGGAGCAAATGCCAGAGGCAATTGAATGATGCCATATTTGTGAACTGCCATCTATTAGAATATTCATCACACTACATAGGCATAATTTTATTAATCCCCCTTTTGGCTTATGAGATTTCCTGTTTACAAGTAGCAATAGTCAGTTCTTTAAATATTTAGTTGCCACCAGGAGTCACTGAGCCAATGACTATCAGCTGCTGACTAATCTTCACACTGTAGATGTTGCTTCATCTGCAGGTCCTTTGTGTTTAGTCACTGTTTTTATTGCTGCAGTATCTTACAAACTCATTGAGACTTAGTGACCATCTTAGTCCATGTTATATCACACAATAGCAAATTCCCTTTCAGAAGTCTCTAGCTTAGTGCTAAAATACTACTGAGAAAGAAACTAAGGTAGATTGGTGAGTGAAAGAAAACAGCAGAAATTAAAAGTAAGTTATATAGTAGTCAGGGAACACTAACTGGGGAGTGTGTTCTGTCTTTTCTTCAATGAAGGATCAATCCAGTGTTCTATGTCAGTGCTAGTTAGAATCCTCTGGTTGCTTTGTGTAGAGCTTAAGGTGGAGGTAGGTAAGGGGTAATGCCATTTTTAGTGACAGACCAGCGTTTCTTACAAGTTACTGTCCTGCTCCCTTTTCAGTTGTCTTGAAGAGCTCTTGCTGCTAACTCTGGGTCCTGCTTTTCATGTAATTAGAGGGCAAGAACACACTTAATCATACTTAGAACAAACTAGTGAGCAAATTGTCATCTGCTACTATTGAAGTTCTTCTTTTTCTTAACCACATCTTAAGTTTGGTCCAGGTATGTCATTCCCATCTCCATGACTTACCTCAAGGAATTTCTAACCTTAGTTTGAGAGTTTCTGACACTAATTAAAAGAAAAATTAGATTAGGGTATGGTAGCACATGCTTATAATCCCAGCACCTGGGAGGTAGCAGTTCAAGGCTGGGGTTCAAGGCTGCCTTCAGCAGTCTTACAAAGGGAAGAAAGATGCTATAATATAGATCCTTTGAGAACTAATAGGAGGTTGATGGCAGAGTTCACACACACTTGTAAACATGTTCTACATCAGTTTTTAGGTAAACATATATGTATAGCTAATGAAAAGGGCTGTTCTTTTAGTTTTCTGTCTTTTTTGCATTCAAAATACTATTCAAGAGTTTCAAACAAATTGAAACTGCTATGTATTTGGAGGAAATAAGGGAAAGCTTTAGACTTAATAGGTTGTTCAGAACTATAAAAGACCATCTTTTGCTGGGTGGCCACACTGGTGACACACACCTTTAATCCCAGCATTTGGGAGGCGGAGGCAGAGGCAAAGACCATCTTTTATAGGATGGTCTTATAAAACCATTAAAAACTATTCTTCATGAATTTTAAAAATTTTTAAAATTCCAAACTACTACCAGAGATACATATTATAGTCCAGCTATGAGCGTCACTTGGTTAGATGAGTTTTTGAGTCCACTTTGATCATACTAGTGTGACTGAATACTAACTGCCATCTCCAATAGGGATTTCTGCCTTATCTAATGTGTGGCACCCAGCTTTCCCATGTAGGTCATGATTACACCATCAATTTAGTTAAAACACATCTGATTTGCAAAATGATTAAAATTAATAGATTTATATGTTTGTGAGCTATTAACTTCTGAGGAATCTTGTACATGGCAGGGTTTTTGTCACAGTAAAAACTTGTAGCAGGAAAATTTGAAAGGGTTTAAAATGCCCTGAAGATAGGGCAAGTACTTTGGGGTGGGGTGGGGGGGATGGAAATGTCAACATTTGACCAAATTAATACCACTTTCTCCCTAGCTATTCACTCATGTGTGTTTAAGAAAGTGAAAAGCGTGGAGAACATGTGTAGCACACCAGAAGAAGTTACTGATCTATATCTGGTATTCAGAGGCTGACAGGGAAATGTTTCTTGTTCTCCCTTTCTTGGGGTCAGCATTTTAAAAATGCAAAACCTCATACATTAAGATATTTTATTCCTACTTAAATTCCCCACTTTTGCACATAACTTTTAAACTTATCTCTAACCCTAAATTGTAGCATCAGAAAGTATTTGCACTGTGTGACAATGTTAGCTGAAAGCGTGTTATTTTTAGAGCGCTCCCGTCCTTCTCCTCATTTGCGTAACTAGACATGATTAGTCCTGGATGTCAAGTCACACCCGCAGGTGACACACTTTGTCTCAAGTCAAGGCCTTCCCAGTAAGTGGAACTTCCCATATAGTCATTGTGATTTTTTTTGACTGCCTGCACATCAAGTAAATAACATTCAAAACACTAAAGAAACTTGTCCTGGAGATTCCATCCTGCTTCTAACAACTTTTTGTGTACATCTGTTTTATTTTTTTCCCCCCAAGATCTTAAGGCAGAATTTAGCAATTTTGTGCTTCTGTAAATGTCTAGCATTTTAAACATATAGACTACATTGTTTTGGACACTGGAATAATATGATTTATTTTCACCTATAAAAGTGACTTTGTTGTACTTGAACATCTTTGCATTTCTCCATTTGTGCCATTTACAAGTGGAAATGAATTGTATTATACCATGATCTACTGGCTTTTTAAAACTGGTACATATGCACATTTTTGGTATAGCTATTTTCATTTGTATGTTTATATTGTGTAATATATATATATATATTATATGAGTGTCTATTTGTGTGTATAGATGGATGGATAGAACTCATTCTATACATGTCTGCCAGGGCTCAGTTTTGAGTTTTATTATTGTTTTTTACTTCTTTACCCTCTGTTAAGGCAAGGATGTGTGTATTTTTGCTCTGGGCTGATATTTATGAGAAGGTGATTAGTAGATGAAGTATTTTTTTTAATCCCTTAACACTTGTATGAGTGAGGAGAAAGTTAAGTAAAGTGAAACCATAAATTACAGTGTAGTAAAAATGTAATTGGGAAGGAGCCAGTTGGTGTTTCTTTGAGTTTGTTTTACAATGCAATAAAACATATGAGCAGTAGAAAAGTGAACTGTGCAAAGAACATTGGTGGTGATTTTCTGCAAAGGTAAAAAAGCCAATGAGTCACGTTTTTTAATGGACTTTTTGGATTTCTTAGTGTGATGCAAAGATCCTCTCTTATTCCCTTTTACTTTCAATACTACTAGTTGTGTATTTTGCTGAGGATCAAAAGTTCCAAGAAAGAAATTACTACTAAAACATACCTAAAGTTCTCCTAAACAGTAAAATCACAGGAGATGGTCACTGGGAAAGAAGGCATGATACTGATTTCAAGGGCTGTCTCCTTTTAACTTACTATTCTTGCTAGCTAATAGTAAGTTCTTATGCACCTTCCATACCTTCTGAGCCACTACTATTCAAGCTGAGATTTGGTCCAACATAACACCCCTTTCTTTCATTTCTTTTCTTTTGAGACAGGGTCTTGCTCTGTAACCCTTTCAGGTCTGGTCATTGATGTTTACCCAAAGCTGTCCTCAAATTCCTAGCAGTCCCAGCCTCCCAAGAAATGGGATTATAGTTGTGACCCACCATGCTCTGCCACAGCAACCCTTTCTTTTGGATGTTTTATAGTTCTGCATTTGACTCATGTTCAGAATGTGAAGTGTCCTAATATGTATTAAAGTCAGAAAAATAATATATTTAAGCTATACTAAGTGTGAATCTGCTATACAGATGAAAAATTCTCACTTACATAGAGCCTTCTCTAAGGAGCAGAGTCAAAATCTGGGCTTTCATCATTGAGCTGCTTATCAAAATACAAGACATTATTGAAGATAAACACATTCTGTTTTGTTTTGTTCCCCTGTTACAGAAGTCTCCCTTCCCTGGTTTAGCATCGCCTTTTAAAAGGCACTCACCTTTAGTTAAGAACTGGAAATTCCCACCCTCGGATTCCTTAAAGGATGAAGAGTGTGCTGTACACTCAGCATACGTGCCTCTTGTATGCAAGGACTACTGATTGAAGTCTGTTTTGCTGTCTGGTTATGTTGTCTGCACTTTTATGAAGTCACAGTAGATCTACGTTGGAAGTAACTATTAATTTGTAAAGAAATTTTTATTAAACACTGTAGAAAAAGAAAGTGAAGCTGAGAACTCTTCCTTTTTTGTGCATTTATATTTTCTGCTGAATTCTGGTAGCCCACTTTTAAAGTTGTATTGCCTTTTTTTTTCCCTGTTTGATTATATTCAGATTTCCAAAGTTTTATTCAAATAAGTGCTGGCCTTCAGATTATAAATATAAGAAATATGTACCATATCTGCCTGTTACAGGCTTCTGAAACTTGCACGGCCCTTCCATGCAAAAATAAGTACCTTAAATAGAAACAGAACACAAACTGGGGAGCCATGTACTATGTCACCATATCTGTTAACTGTTTCGAGCAATTTAAAGAGTGTGTGTGTGTGTGAGAGAGAGTGATATTGTA